ATTTCCTAACGTCTTATATTTATTTATTTATTTATAAAATGCGAAATTTTATCAAGACATACGTTACGGGGGTTCTTGCGTATTGTCGTTAAATGTTATTTATGCTACCAAAAAGGCAATAAATTCTGAAAAGCTTTTTAAACTATTTACTTCTTCGAACGTCGTACTATAAATTTTGAGCTCCTCCCGGATAAATTGAGTCCGGCCATTTTTCATCATCCATATTAGCATCGGCTGAGGGTTTTTTTTTTTTTTTTTTTTTTTTTTTTTTTTTTTTTTTGACATATAAATATATGTACAAGTGCGGAAATTATGCAACCACTTTTTCTTATTTGAAGCTTTCGAAAATTCCTAATGCAAAATCCCTGAAATTTGTTCATTTAGTGCTTTTTGCTGGGAATTTAGGCATCAAAGTTATTATTTCCAATTTTCTGCTTCTTTGAATTATTTGTAGCATTTTGCTGTTGCTGTTATTGATGTTGCTTATTAATAGTCTTATTCTTGGCATTTTATGAAAATCTTCATTTTGCTTATACATAGTGCTTTCGAAATGCTAAATAAATTTCAAAATTAAAATTTGAATAGTGTGAGCTATAAAATTCCTTCTAATTAATTTTCCCTCTAAATTATTTATCATCCAAACTGAGCATTCTTAATTTCGTTTCCGCAAATGGATTCTACTATTTGAAGTTAGCCTGTTCTAATTCTTATAAAGCATTTATTTTTTTTACTTTAGCATTTTATATTTAATAATTCCTTTTCTAATATGTATTTATTAAGTCTTTCTTCCCAAATACGCGCGATATTTGTCAGTCGTAAACTTTAAATATGAGTTGTGTTCGTTTACCCCCACTACGAAGCATAACTTGAATGTCAGCTGATGTGGTTGATGACCATGGAAGGCTTATTCAAAATGATATGTCAACACTTCAGCATAATTTTGTCTGAATCTTTTTGCTTGTCTCTAAATTTCTTCTGTTCAAGAACGCTGCAAAGAATCAGTTTGTGTCAAACATAACTAATTGTTTGATTAGTTTGTTATTATTACAAACTTATTTTAGCAAACATAAACAAACAATACTAAATAAACAAAAATTAACAATAGTAATGTTTTGAGCAAACAAATTAGATAACAGAAATTTTAGGTTAGTTTGTGTCAAACATTGCTATTGTTTAATTGCTTTTGTTTAAAGAAAGAAAAGATCAAAATTATCTGCTCCGCATTATCAGATTGCTGCATACCCACTGGAGAGTAAAGAATGAACTAAATTTCAGTAATTTAGATTTAAGGGGGAAACTTGAAAAATGGACCTTGTTGATAGGACGCAAATATCTTTAACACTTGTAAGTATGATTTTGCTTTGAATGCATCCTTGAACTATTTTTTATTTAAAGAAAAAAGTATTCTTCCAGGGGCAACGGATAACAAAGGTTAATTAATACGAACCCATTGCACTTAAAACCCTGGATGCTGTTTGGGATTTGAAAGTGCGACTTTTCTACTCAATATGACAATGGTGGCCCTTTATATAACCCTTTATAAAGTTCCATAATTCGTGATACTGCTAATTTGAGTAATTGTTTCTGGGAAAGCGAAATCTACGATAAATATGAGGAAAGGTTATTTTCATATTAGGCAAACAACTGTGAGTTAAAGAAACGTTCTGATTTTACATTTGCAATCAGCACACACAGATACATTAGATCAGCATAAATTATTCAATTAGCGAATTAATTGTTCACCAGTGCATCTGGCTAATAAAACTTAACTTTTTGAATGTTAAATAAAAGTCTAATTCCTGTGGACTATTTCTTAGTGATTTCAGATTTCTTCATAAAACTTTCCCATCACTCAAGGATTTGAATAACCATATCAGTGCAAGCAACAAAAAATTCTGAAAGAATCCAGACTTTAATGATCTCCCAAAAGAGCTGTTTTATATGGTTTATCAGTAGTGATTATTAATAGAGGTCTCCTAGGTGGAAGAGCAAAACATTTGATAGGACACTAAATGAATATATATATATATTTAAAAAAGACCAAAATATCTCCTGTTTAGTTTAAAAATGGAAAACTATGTAACGTATTTGTATAAAAGTAGTTATTGTTTTTAATTAGATATCTCAAGCATTAAATGCGTTTTTCTTTCAATCAATCAGATTAAAAATTTTAAAACTAATATTCTTAATAACTGCATTTTTAAAATAGTTTAATTTGTTATTCCATAACAGACAGCTCCAGTTTGAAATTGTGTTTCGAGAATAATATCTATTTTGAGCTAGTTATAGTTAAATATGAAGAAATTTTGCATTAGAAAAAGCATTTTGGTTGACTTCATTTCAGTTAGTTTTCTTTCTTGTAACGAGCGCACAAAACTACAACTACACAACAAAATTACACAAGAATCATCATAAATCACGAATTAAATAAAATCACTAATGATCAGTATAATCAGTTTTATGTGACACTACGTACTTAATGATGAAACTCAGAAACCAATGATGCAACTTTAGTGACTTCCACGAGCGGCCTTTACTTAATTAAAGTTAATAACAGTTGTATAAAGTAGAGATAATTTGGTTTCACTAACTTTACTTATTTTCATCACGTTAGATTTTGGATTAAGACAACTTAGAATTTGCTAAGCATTAATACTTACTACTAGGTGCCTTTTTCCCTTAAAAATGAAATCTTTTGCATTCCCTAGACAAATAAAAGCGAAAAACTAAATATTCTACAACGGCGAAGTTGTTTACTAATGGGAATAGCGAAGAGGTTTTCTGTGGAATATTATTATACTAATCACATTTGTTACTATTCACGACATTAGGGCTGAGAAACAAGCAACATCAAACTCAATTTTGCCTCTCCCTAAACTAATATCTTGGTGAAGAATTTGGCAAGAATTTATTCCTGAAACTAGGCTTAAAAAACATTACGTTGTTACAAAGTATTGAGTCGCTTAAAGACCGATGAATTTTGTTGTGCGTCGCTCCATTTTTTACTTCGTCAGCCTTTTACTAAAAATGGCTAACCTCTGTTTTGTTAATGGGTTCGTGATAATAATTTTCAGAACTGTTGCTCCTCTTTTTAACCTTATACTTTTTTATCTCTTCATCTTTGAAAAGGGTCTGTTTTAAATTTATATGAAGCGTATAACAAACTTGTAATGCATTATTTTGTATTCATATGCCCATCAGTGGTCGAGTGATTCAGTCCACTGAATACTGATAATTCGAACTTAGATAAACAGGTTGGCTGCAGGATTTGTTCCTGTGTTTTTTCTCCTATGTGTAAGATTAATTAGAGCAATTTCCTTTAAAAGGTCGTGCCATGAAAGTAGCTGGGACTTTTTTTAATGCTAGTTGCGACAGCGTTGATGCATTTCATAAATTCGTACCATAATAGAAAAATTGCTTTTAATTAATTATTCTAATCAAATTACAGTTTGCAGAATGTCATTTATCAATCAGTGTTTGATTGGGATTTTTTCCAAACAATAGCTTTTTCGGTACCACATAATCATCAGAGTGCCTTACAGTCTGCCTGTAACATGTTATAATATAGGATTATTCAAAAAACGAATGAACCAATTTCGTGGCCTATGTTTTATATAGGAATGTAGTTTCAAACATCTAACAATGCAAAACGTGGTCCATTGGTACTGAAGCTTGTTTCCTCTATTTTGAGCGTTCAGATTCACTTGCAGCAATACAGGTGACGGAGGACGGGGACATTGTGTCTAACAAAGGTTAAAGCAGATATATGTTCCACGCCCTCCTCTATCTTAAACCGGCAGCTCTCTAGTCCCGAGAGGCCTGCATCGGGAATGCATTTGCTTCTTTGTGAAGTCTGAACAAACAAGGACCTCCTTCAAGGGCCTTGTATGCCTATGTACAAACTTGTAATGCCTATGTAACTCAACAACAATTGTTTAAATTATGTTGCTTGCTGACCGAGCCTTGGCCATGGTGGACAGATAATAGATTTTTTTCATCTAGAGGACACGCAGTAATAGCAAGCTTATTACCTTGATGGAGCCAAGCACTTCAATGACAATTCTTTAAATTATGTTGTTTGTTCGATGTTATTTAAATTTTGTTGCTTCTCCGAGCATTTTGTGGGACATTTCCACAATTGTTGTTGAAATGCTTCATGGTGTCAAGCGTTTCAACAACAATTGCATAAATTATGTTGCTTGTCATCCCGCACCTTGGCCGTGGTGCGCAGATAACAGATTTTCTCCTCCATAGGACACCGTATAACAGCTTAAGCACACAATAACAGCAGGCCTGTTGACCTCATGGGCTTCCACAGAGATAGTGTTCAAGTGGGTTGAATGATCATAAACTTATAGATAGCTTGACTTGTGGACTTCCATGGGCTCTGCTTCACGATTTTCCGCATTTTTTTCTTGCAAAACTTGCGGCCGTCCTAAATTACTCCTTTTCACATAGAACTGCATTCTTTAAACTATTGAAAGCACTGCCGAATGTTCAAAAAATAAAGGACACAGGACGCCTTATCTAATACGCCATCATTCCGAATGTCCTGAGCTTTCATAGGGAGCGATGCATATCAAGTGCGAAACAGCGTCCTATTGGGAACTGTTCAGAATTTAGAAACCTTCTTTCTTAAATGATCAATGGCTCATTTTTTGAAGATGCTTAATGACTACTTCAAGACTGATTCATTCTTTTTAAATAACACTGTATATCATTATTCTTGAGATGAATTTCATTTGCAAAAGCACGACACTCAACATTCTAGTTCCCTGTGTCAAATGCATATTTTGCTACCCATACTAATACATTTTGTTTTCAGATATGAGAAATGTTTTGAACAATGTATACTTTTTGTTTCACACTTAAACTGTTTCGTTTACTCAGACAGAAGATGCATCGTTGTCACGATATCATGGTTATTTGTTACTTAAAATATGCATTTACACCCATTAAAAGAAATTGTATAAGTAAATTATTATCTTTTTCTTTTCTAGAAATGTCCAGTTTTCCATGGAAGGTTGTCAACCAGTTCAGACTGGAAACTATTCCTTGTGTCAATGCAACCATGTTGGAACTTATGCTGTTTTGCTCACAACATATGCTCAACCAGTAATTTGACCGTTATCTTAATATTACATAGTTTGTTTTCTTAGTAATTTGTAAGATATGTTGCCTGTTCCTGTTCCTTCATATCCTATTTACTTTTATGTAAATTTTAACTTTTACCTTTTAGTACAGAGGGTGATTACGCATTATTAGAAAATTTCGGGGTCATTTAATTAATGTTTAAAACGTAAAAAAAATTAATATTCTATCTAATAATCTTTTTCTGGACTACAAGACTGCATCGTAATTTTTTATGTCAGAAGGGCTTTTCAAAAAAATTAATGGCACTATAGATTCCCAGTCCCCTGCTACTAATTTCCAGAGTTTATCAATTGTGGTGGGTTTGGGCTTAGAAAGAGCTCTTTTCAAGAAATCAGAGACACAATAATTTATGGGTGAAACGTTAAGAGACTTCACATGAATACTTTGAAAAGGTATATATGAAACATCTCTGTCAGTCTTCATGTATTTAAGTATTGCAGTGGTACTTTCGGAAGTAAGATTTGTTCTTTTATCTTGATAAAATTTCTCTATTTTAAGTCACTAGGATAAAAAAAATGGAATTTTTCCTATAAATATTGGATTTAAAACCTTGTCTTGACTGTACGTTGAGTTGCTTTTAATAATTTTTCAGCTCTTCTTATTTTTAATTTCCCATTACAAAAGAATCCTGTGACAATCTTAAACTTCATATTGAAACTTTCTTTGTATTAAACCCATTGCTTCATGAATTGCTACAAGTATTTCCATTTATCTCCTGAGAAATAGTTTGCATACAGATTTCTACTAACTGATCTGCGTTGAGTCGCATGCTTCTGCAAAGCTGGAGAACATTGTTTTTTAGCTTTTTTAAGTTGTAAATCTTGCTTTCTTACATTTTTATTGTTGCTACAGATGGATTTAAAGCCTTTGTAATTTACTTCTGCGTCGGCGGAGTTTCTCTTGTTAGCAATGGTTTAATTTCAGAACTCAGGAATTTGTTCAGAGTCTTCTTTCCATGTAGATGTAATGATTGACGGTTTTTCTCTTTCCAATTAATAATCCAATAATGTTGCTTATTTGTTATTATTGCACATAGAAATTTTAATACCGTGTATTCCAGGTTGTTTTTTAATGATGGAATATGAATATTCCTCTTCGGAAAGCGGAAAAGCATATCCTTCAATCCACAGCTTGTTTAACATGTGACGACGTTTTGAAAGAAGAATAATTTTAAAAGAAGCAAGCGGTATTTCTCATTTCAAAATAAGTTGTATCCATAAACTTTTATTCTAAAAGATTTACTTTTCTATTTCTTCATCAAAACCTTTCTAAAAATCTGTAAACACCCTCTGCAGCAGTTTATAAGAAAGAAACCGTATTAAGGTTTTAAGGTTTATTTCTTATAAAGAGTTCTGCGCTTGTCTATTTATTGCAAATCTTTGGCATTTTATATTGTTTTGGCATTGGTATTCTGTGTAGCATTACATGCTAAAATCATTACACTTCTATAGTTTGCTGATCTTTAGGTGATGCATATCATGTTTACAGTATATACGGTATTTCTTAGAATCTAAGGCAATCCCTTTAACGCATCACTAATTTAAAAGTCACTAAAACTAGAATGTGGCTTATAATCGCAGATTTTTCCGTTTTTCTAATTATTATTTCAAAAATAATTTTTAATTGTTTTTATAATTTAATAAATTAAAAATTACTGCTCTAATATTTTTGTTCTTAAATAGAAGTTGATTGTTTAATAAATGTTTTTCAGATGTGTTTTAGTGCATTAATTTCAAATATTTTTTTAATCAAAATCTTTTTTTTTTTTTTTTATATATTCTGTTGAAGCAGAAATTAAGAGATGTGCTTTACAATAATTCTTAGAAATTAAAATTCTTAGATTTTTAAAATTATTCCCTAATATTCTAGGATGAACTGCAGTTCCAGGATGGATTTGAAGTTATTGCTGGAATAGGTTGTGCCATCTGTGCCTTTTTTGTTTGTCTTACCTTCTTCATTCTTCTAGTGTTGTGGAGGTAAGATTTTTAAGCTAAAACTTCCCCCCCCCCCCGGTTTTGAAGATCTTAAAAAAAGAATTTCTTGAGAAAATATTATACAGTAATAGCTCAAGCTTTTTGTCTACGCAGGAAATAAAAAACTTTGCTTCAGGAGTAACTAACAAACTATATAACATAATAAACTACAAGCATAAAAACTCAAAATATCTTCATTAAAGTAAAGCACCAAATACAGTAAAAACAATTAAAAAAAACGATTTTCACAATTAAAATTAGAGTTTCTACGCAAAACAAGCAATTCGGCCAGGGGGCAAGCAGATTTTTCAGTGCAGAAAACTGCAAGTTTACTTTTAGCCCCATTCGCCAAAAAGATGCTGAAGAAACTAATTTTTAATTAATTTAATTTAACTCATTATTCTGATAAGTTTCAAATGTAAACAAATATGCCTGCTAAAATAATTAGTCTTAGCCGCACTTAAAGAACTTTTAATAATTCTACAACTATTGCATGCAGATTAACTAACGGCATAAATACCTTAACCGGAAGACAAGAACAACATAATTCAATCTATTTCAAAGCAAAAAATTCACAATTTATTAACATTTAAGAACAAAAATGTTGAGCTCACGGAGCAGTGTAATAAAATGGTTATATATATATATATACGTTTGGTGCGGCCGATTGCAACCAAAGCGTGAGGTGCGTAACTGCATATTATAGCAGTCCTATATATAAAATTTCAACATTCTGAGGCTACTCGTTTTCGAGTTATGTGAGATGCATACATAAGTACGTACGTACAGACGTCACGAAAAATTTTCTTCTGAACCCATTTTAAATCTTTTCTGCAACTCGTTTAGGGAAAAAATGTCCTTTATTATAGATGTCACGCAAAAACATCGTTAAATTACATTCGATAGCGGTCAAAATGGATATTTTCGTTGAAATATGATATCCGAATTCTAAAGTTATAATTCTAACGTTATACAAACATATATAAAATGAAGAATAATTCTAAAGTTAATATTTAATAGTTTTATTCCAATAAATAGTTTTAAATTTAACAGTTTTATTCTATTTTATACTTTTAAATTTTAACTGATATTTTAAAATGTAAATTAAGTTTAAAATTTAAATTTAAAAAATTTTTACACTTTATTCCATTGAATAGGCTCAAATTTAATAGTTTTGTTCCATTAAATAGTTCTAAACTGAATAATATAATAGTTTTAGTACATTAAACAATTATAGATTTAAAAGTTTTGTTCTGTTAAAGAGTTCTAAATGTAACATTTATTAGCTTTATTCCACTGAATACTTTTAAATTTATTATTTAATAATTTTATTTCATTAAAATGTTTTAAATTTAACTGGATTATTCAATTAAATATATCTAAAGTTAATATTTAACAGTTTTATTCCTTAAGTATCTTCAAATTTTAAAGTTTCATTCCATTAAATAGTTCTAACTTTAACATTTAATAATTTTATTGCATTAAATAATTTTAAATTTAACATTTAATTTTTTTTTTCAATTAAGTATATTTATTCGTTCTCTGGATCGAAAAGGGTTAGATGACCTCTACTGTCTGTTCCTTTAAAACAGGCATTTCGAGGTCGTGAAGGCGCTCCCGTCATTTTTGATCATAACATATATCACATCATCGCACAGAGCAAATTAGGGGATTTTATCAAATAGAAGGATTCGACTTTTTTCCGCAGCAATCATTGTCATGGCAAGTCATGATTTGGATGCAAAAATTGGCCTCTTCTAAAGTTATTGATTAACAGTCTAAAACACTAAAAATCGCCTCTTAAATTATCAAAATTAAACAATTAATAAAAGAAATTTTAATTATGAAATTGGAAAAGAAAATGTTACTTAAGTCTCTCTCCAAAATAAAATAATTTAAATCCTTCTCCGATAAAAAGAAGATCTTAGAAAATCCTTCTCCGCAAATAAAATCTTTCTAAGGAATTTCATAAATTTTGCAGATGCCAAACAACTTAAGATCGATTTATATATATCAAATCCATATGTTTCTTCCCTTTCAATTCGAACAAGAAAGTGAGCTGCAATATTCAACCGACAATAGATTACGTTTCTCACGAAAGCTTTCTTTTCTGTTCGCCATACACAGAATTGCGTATCATCTTTTTGGCAGCTACTCCGAATTCATTACATTTTTCGCAACATCATGGCTAAGGATATGAGGCGTCAGGTGTTTCTGCAAAGAGCTTTCTTGCATCGCATGCAGATGCAGAAAATCCGTGATTTAAAGTTCTTAAAATCTGGTATGTTGTTGAAGACGAACTTCTATTTTATTCTCACTCTTCTTCAGTTGAATAAGCGCATTTAGACTACTTTTCACCTAAGCTGCATTGATGTCTTATTTCTTTTCTAGAAATTTATATTTAGTTCACTCATGGTGTTTGTCGCTATGGTCAGAAGTTTCCATCTATTTTTAAATTATTTCCTTGTAAGCTATCGAGTTCAAATTCTGTACATATGCCATTTATGGAGGAAAATACTTTGTAGGGGACCGATCTTTTCAAAATCCGATTTAGACCTTTATAATTTAATTTTTCGCATGTACCTCTGTTTAACGTACAAACTAAAAATATCAGAATTTTACTGTTTGCAACATGAAATAGAGCGTAAAAAAAAATTTTAAGAAAATTTATGTAAATTTGTTATTTTATTTCTGATTTTTTTAACCCCAAAAGGGCGTTAAACCGAAAGGGCTATTAGTCTCGAAACAGGATTTACGTCGTCCGCTATGAACGGTAGTATCATTTCTTCATTTGTTACCATCAAATATTATCGCCCTGCATTATTTTCAAAGAAATTAAATAGAGAAGAATATGCATGTATGTATGTACGTTCCTCGTCTTGTAAAAAACGACGGTACCTAGGACTATCAAATTTTGAATAATAGTCCTCCACATGAACATTTATACCTGGAAGCTCGACTTTTGAATTTCTAATTTTATATTTCATATTTTCTAAAACTTTTAATTATATTTTATTAACAAACTTAACGACTTAAAAGTGAGCAGTGGCAACAATGTGCGGCATAAAACATATTTATCTCTAGCGCGAGATAGTATATTGGAAATTCTAAAGATATACTGTTCCTAATATTTTGTATGCTGTAGTTTTAATAAATAAGTTTAATAAGTAATAAAAAAGTTTTATATGGTGTAAGAACATGATATTTAATTAATAAACTTAACACGCAAGAACTTACTAAAAAGAGACAAAAAAAAAAGTTTTGCAAGCCATCTCTAAGAAAACTGAACATTGATATAATGAAACGACAAAAGACTGAAAAAACTAGAAAGCCAATCCTTAACACTGCATCGGGAATTCTAAACATATGCTGCTATACTGCTTTTAGAATTTTTGTAATTTTGCTGATACATATATGGCGAAAGTGCGAACAAAATGATGCTTAATAATAAAGCTGAAAAACAAAAAGAAATGAGTTAGCAGAAGTAAGTGCAAAATCAGACTACTAGATTGCTAACTCAGCGAGAGCGTAAAAAACTTTAACGAAACACTTTTGTGCGCCCGTTAAAATATGAAACCTTTCAGATGTTTTTCGGTTGTAATTTGAATTTGTTGTCGAAAGTAAAAGAGTGTTTTTTCATCATCAAAACAAATTTCGCAACTGAAAAATTTAATTTACAATATGCCATTGATACAAAAAAGATAAAACTAAAATAAGGTTAAAAAAGAAAAAATTATGAAATGAGCTCTTATTAAAATTTCATAAAATAATTAATGGACTAAAAGAAAAATAATTTACTGTATGAGAAATTAAATAATTCTTTTACAAAAGCCATCTGCAATTTGATATCGTGAAAAATGAAAGCTTGGACATCCAGTTAACGAAATCGAATTGCGTTGTCAAAAGTATTAGTAAATTTATCAAGGGCGAATTCTGTAAAGAGAAATATTTTCTCTCGTGTTCCCATGATATTATACGATAGATTATACTTTTAACTGATAATGTGTGACTGAGAATTGAGACTTAAGAGATGAATTAATTTTTAATAGACAATACTTGCTTGAGATTTAAAAAATGAAACATTAATAAGGTAAAAAGTATATTTTTTATAAAATAAGTTTTTATTTAAAACTCATAAAATTATTAATTGAAAAACAAAAAAGCAAGTTATCGTATAATTTCATGGGAACAAGAGATTAAATACGTTTTACAAAATTCCTCTACAATTTTATATCACAAATAAAAGAATTTATAAATAAATTAATAAATTTATGAATTTGTAAAAATAATGCCTCATACTGTTGACAGTGCAATTTATAGATTTTTTTTATTTGAGCATCCACGCTTTTATTATTTATCATATAAAATTGTAGATGAATATTAGTAAGATGATATAATCTCTTTTCTCATGAAAATGCATGACAAATTATTTTTCTTCTTTTAATTCATTAATTATTTTATTAATTTTAAGTAAAAGCTTATTTTGCGAAAACATTTGTTTACTTTATTTAATTTCCTTCAGATAGCTTGTTAAACCTTTCTGAACCAGCAGTCGCCAACCGGAAGTCCGTGAAAACGTTTTGATGGTCCGAAGAAAAATTGGGACATTATTTATATTTTTATGAAGATTCAGTTTAAAAATAACGAGTAACAAAACCTATTATGGAATATGGATTATACTCTTTTTTTTTAATTTAGCTGCTACTTTTAGCGAAATTCCATCAATGAATTTAGCAATTTTTAGCTACTTTCGCAGGTGTATTTAGCGACATTTGAAAGTGAGAGTTGGCATCCATGAATATGCTGCTGTTATCAATAATAGCGTGAACTGGAATTCTCTTTCTAGAATTACAAGCATATGCTATTGTAGTCGTTAATAATTCAGTTTTGCTTCATGCCAAGTTGATGGATTTTTATGAGAACTATCTACATTCTTATCAGTGGAAGTTTCTGTTTTTGTTTTGTCTGACTGTTGATCAATGGCGCTACTGCTGAGTAAGCGTGATTATTATGTTTACAGTAATTAAAAATTGGCGGCATAGCACTTTCAGTTTATTGATATTGCTTTGCGTTTGCCAGTTTGTTCTTGCTTTTCGTGAAGTTCTTTTTCAATGATATGGAAATGTAAAGCTTTCTGTATAAGAAGGTAAGATTTTTGTACTTTTAAAATAATTTTAGTGTGAACGAAATATGTGTATCAGTGAGATGTTAATAGGCTTTTAATCGTTACTCATAATCAGGGTCGTAGCCTGAATTTCCATAAAGGCATACTGCTGAACAACAAATGTTTCGAAAATTACATCAACAAATGAAAATTAGAATTACATGTATTGGAAAGTTGAATATTGTTTTTGCGTATTAATATGTTGTTTTTAAGATCTAATTTAAGTTTTTTCTCTTTTATTCGTATTAGTGTTCCGCCAAATATAAAATTATATATGTAGTGGTCCGTGAAGTTCTAAGGTTTGACGACCGCTGAACGATACTAAACCAAAACTGTTAATTATATGATGAAATACAGGATGATCATATTGCCTGCGTTGTCTGTAAACATTATTTGACAAAGATTTTTGATAGTATTGCTTTTCGAGGGAAATGTCCAAATGCTCCAATCACAGTCACTCAGAGCATTTACCTTAATTATCAATTGAAATGCAGTTATTATTAATAAAACTCAAATTTCTAAAAATTTCGAATTACTAAACTTTAATATCAATTAATTTTATAATACCTAGTTTTAAAACTAGCTATGGCCCAATGTTTGTTATAAACAATAACAAAATGCTTGCTCCTAGCTGTGATAGGGAAACAGTTTGTACATATAACGCTCCCTCTTGGATTACCAAACTGTGCAAATATCCCAATATAGAAAGCGCAGAATACACACAATATGTGCAAGTCTTTTAAAACTCTGTTTTAGATTTCTAATAAATATCATGCGTTTTGCTAAATAGTTTAAATTTTTCGCGTAAATAAATAATAGCGTGAACTGGAATTCTCTTTCTAGAATTACAAGCATATGCTATTGTAGTCGTTAATAATTCAGTTTTGCTTCATGCCAAGTTGATGGATTTTTATGAGAACTATCTACATTCTTATCAGTGGAAGTTTCTGTTTTTGTTTTGTCTGACTGTTGATCAATGGCGCTACTGCTGAGTAAGCGTGATTATTATGTTTACAGTAATTAAAAATTGGCGGCATAGCACTTTCAGTTTATTGATATTGCTTTGCGTTTGCCAGTTTGTTCTTGCTTTTCGTGAAGTTCCTTTTCAATGATATGGAAATGTAAAGCTTTCTGTATAAGAAGGTAAGATTTTTGTACTTTTAAAATAATTTTAGTGTGAACGAAATATGTGTATCAGTGAGATGTTAATAGGCTTTTAATCGTTACTCATAATCAGGGTCGTAGCCTGAATTTCCATAAAGGCATACTGCTGAACAACAAATGTTTCGAAAATTACATCAACAAATGAAAATTAGAATTACATGTATTGGAAAGTTGAATATTGTTTTTGCGTATTAATATGTTGTTTTTAAGATCTAATTTAAGTTTTTTCCCTTTTATTCGTATTAGTGTTCCGCCAAATATAAAATTATATATGTAGTGGTCCGTGAAGTTCTAAGGTTTGACGACCGCTGAACGATACTAAACCAAAACTGTTAATTATATGATGAAATACAGGAAATAGCTGTAAATGAACATTATCAAAATCTTTAGAGCATTCAGTAAAATAGTACTAGAAGAAAAGTAAGTAAATTACTGCCTTTTGCGAGTTTAGCTTAGATTATGTATAGTAAAGCACACAAGGCATATATGTTTAAGGAAGGGATGCTTCCGGGGAAAACATTTTTAGGGCACTGGCATGTATTAATTTTATATTTGGTCAAACCAACAAAAGCCAGACATGCAGCTAGCTATTCGGCTGCCTTCAAACTCGGTTCAAAGACTATCAGAGGTCTTAAACTACTTAACCAAATGCTGGGCTACAGCCTTTTCAAAATGAAACATTTCATATTAAATTCGCGTGTTCTTAGTTTCTTTATAAATAACATTTATGAGTACTTGGATAGTTATCCACCAAAAAGCGCTAAATATTCTTTTAAAAAATCTGCATTTAATATTGAAAAAAATCGCTGTGAAATATTTTATTGTCATTACAAATGTACAGAATATTAAAAAATTCGGTATTGTATAAGTGAGCTAAAAACTAAACAAACAAGGACAAAAATCATTTTTAGCTAAACCATGTAAACAAAAGAACTCGTCGCTGAGGTACGTAACACACGGATTAGAAGTGAACAATACGATCTTGATCTATCCTTTCCGCAACGATCAATTTCCCCTATGTATCGTAAAGCATCTTTAGCCATGAATTTTTTTCTACACAAATAATATTGTTAGTTTCCTTACCTAACATTTCTCGAATTGTCCTTTCGCTCCATTATTCATTTGGGAATAACTGTCCTGCCCTAACATCTTTCCATTTGAATTGAGTATTTATTTGTTATTTGTATTATCTTTTCTCTCGTATTACCTTTTGTGGGAACATAACAGTAATTCTGCCAACACTAATACTTCACATATCACCTCCAAATCCCCGTCCACGTAACTGATTTTTTTTTATGTTTGTTACTTTGTTGCAGTAAATTTATTACTGGTTGTTTTCGAGCTTAATTTGTTAGTTTACAATGGCTAAGGAGGAGGGAAATGAAAATGAATAGCAGAAAATATAACCAACACTAACAAAGCTTTTATAAAAAGTTAACCTTTTTCTATGCGCTAAGTGTCGAGGGTTTCGAAAGATATTTCATTTCTCAAAAAATCGCATATTCAACTGGGGCAAAACTCAGCCGAGAAGCAAAGATAATGTTATGACTTTTTTGTTGAAACTTAACTCTTAAAATAGTGCATTCTTAGTGAAATCAATACATATTATGTATTTCTAATAAGTTATTTGCAGTGTAAAAGAGTTTCCTGGTTCAACCGTTTATCTCCACTAATAGTTTTCCTCTTCCTGCTGAGAAACGATATATCGAGGCTTTTATGAGTTGAAAATAATTAAAACTGAAAATAAAATAAACAATTTAAAATGAACCCGTGTTAGTCGGAAAATGGTGTAAATATTACAATTTTTTACCTAAATTCCGAATGAATTAATTTCTTATAAACTGTAGTATTGGATAATACTACAGTAATTTAACAATACCTATCATGTAAGTATTGGAACTAATTTCTTAATCTTATTATCATTTATATTCTTCTAACAGGAAAATAAGTGGAGCTATTACGGCCTTGAAAGTTCAAGTGTGCGTCGCCTTGCTTGGAGCTTATGCAACCATTCTAAAAGCCCTTCATGAATCCCTCACAAAGGTAAACCTTCTTCTTTCTGCAGTAAAATAATTTTTCCTTGTTTACTTGCTCATTTTTTCGATGCATAACAGCAAATATAAATTCAATTCAACTGCAGCGTGCAACTTACGAAGGCTTCGCTTGGGAAAAATCATCGTATTAAATTTAAATCTTACTGAAAGCATTTGTAACTAAACTTCAAGGTTCAACAAAACATCAAGGTTCCAACAAAACATCAAGGTTCCAACAAAACATCAAGGTTCCAACAAAACATCAAGGTTCAAACTTCAAGGTTCAAAATTTCAACGAACTAGTTTATTAGTGGCATATAAATAAAGTTTTACAATCAATATCAACAGCTAATGTGAACTGGCCTTCAATCTTAAAAAACTGGGAATATTAAAGACAAAAATGAAACCTTAAACATATGTGCTAATTTTTGTTTGCAAACGAACACGGTGGATTAAAATCTAACTCGCGAAGAATGCAGTATTAGTTTCAGCTGTGTGATGAAAGTTTAAATTGGTGGGAAATTTAGATTTCGCCATGCGTCTGCACAGTGCTGGAGAGGATACGAAGCGTGCAACGCTATATAATACTGCAGTAGAAGCCAATTTTTTGGTTATTCATTTGACTCTTTCTTTGAGCCAAGATAAGCTTTTCTAAGCCAAGATCATTAAGCCTTTCTTTGAGCAAATAAAACATTTAGTATATATTGGGTTCTGGTTATCGTCCTTGTGGCCTAGACGAGTAATTGTGGTTCTCTCCAGCTTGGTGAGGCGATGGGCGATGTTATGCACAGAATCCTGACAAGATGTAGCTGTCGAAGACAAGGATGGGATTAAGAATCCAGAAGAATGTTCCGGATAGCATTTACTATGGAACACATGGAACTTACAGCCAGATAGAATTACAGTCAGGTACCTGCCAACCTAATGTAACGTAAACTCAGTATGACCCAACTGTGATCATATTCATGTTCTAACCTGTTATCCATTTTATGCATTTATCATACATAACAAGATGACATACAGCTTGTTCATCTTTATTGTAAAGTTCAAGGAAACTATCCATTAAAGACTTTTATTTCACTTTCATCCACTATACTCCTTTGGTAGGCTACTACGTCTTCTGTTTCGCAACAACACTCAGCAGCCCCAAAACAACAGATAAAAATTATTTCATTCCATTTTTCTTTAAAATAAAATAAAAAGCTAAGCTGTAAATGAAATGTTAGCTTTCTCTTTCGAAATATATTTCTTACATAAAATTTTCTAATTCCTTTATTTCGAACTCGAAAAAAAGTGTTGTTTCAAATGTGCATACTACGTTTTTCGTTCAAAGTGCTATTATCTGTAAATAATAATTGCTTTTATATGTTATCATCTGCTTTATTTCTTCAGTTCTTTAAATTTTATTGCTTGTATCATTTATAAAAAATTAAATACCTGCCTCTTAAATACTCTGTAAAAGCATGTTCAAGGAAAAGGTAATTTGTTTAAAGAAAATAAATAGTTCAGCACAGATAATGGCCCAGGAGACTAGCATACTTAAGCGAAACAAAACTTTAGTAAAGGAAGAGAAAAAATATAGCAATTCCCTAGGCGAATAGCGAGCTTTTAAAAGTATTTTTATTTTATAAACTGTTTCTTTCTGTGAAAATAAACTGCACTTTCTAGCAGAAATGTCGGCAACAAACCCTTGTCATCGGATTCAGAAGAAGTACCTGCTTCACATTTTGCATACTGGAATTTTATTGAATAAATGAAGCAAAAATACAGTCAACAGTTTTATTTACTTAAAGCCATTTTGACTCTTATTTAACCGTAGTTTTAAGAGAAACATTTTTGTCCGTTTTTCTTACAGTGAAGCAATATTTTTCAAATAAAATATTCTAATTTTTTTAACCGGTTCTCAAGATGAACCCGTTCTTAATTTTAGATTCAAATTAGAACTTTATTTCAAGTTACTTTTAACAAAAATTGCATACTTTGAAACCTCGTTTAAGGAACTTAATTCTTGTTTAACGAAAACATTTCTTATCGTAGTATTCGTAATCGGACTGGTCAAAATATTTTTTTTAAGAAACATATTTCTGAAATGTAAAGCATTTCTTTATTTTCATGTTTGTGTGCATGGCAAAATATTTCAAATTGTGTAAAAATTTAATTTATACCTTGTAACTCTTTTAATTGAAACACACTTTCTCCACTAATTTTACTACTGAAAGGACCTATAACATTAGTCTGAGTAACTCTGGCGTATTTTCTATCGTACTTACTACTGAAAAAAAGACTAAAAGAAATTTTCAGTTTTCTTGGTTTTCAGCCAATCATTTATCGACTTAAAAAATTTGAACCACTGGTGTTTCGTAACTCTTCTTTCTTCGGAAATTATCATTTGGTTAAGCCTGTCTTTGAATTGTGTAGTACATTTAAAATTAAACCTATGTTATGCGTGTTAATATAAATAATAGAACTCTCAAATGAAATATGAAGCAGAATGTATAATATTATAAATTGCACTAAATAATATTGATGTCACCAGTGGCCAGTTTAGGAGGATCGGTATCTACAACACAATGCTATTGTATCTTTGCTGGTTTTTTTTTAACTTGCTATGTTTAACTATCTGTCTCAACATGGGGACGTGTTTGTTTATATCTTCGGCAGAGAAAGCTGCTAGATGAAGGACTCCGTTATATGTTCGAAATTTGTTCTATGTCTGGACACTGCAACTTCTGAAAATCGTTTTTAAAATTACAAAGACATAAAAACTGCGTGCTGATATAATAGAGCTGCATAGTAGATATTCCAGTAGTTTCCGCCGAAGCTATCTATGCTTTCATTCCTGTGATCAGCAACAATAACGTGAATTATCATGCTGTTGCGCAATGGCGCATGTGTCCTGCAACAGCCCGATGCCGGAGTTCTGTATCTTCAGACCTTGACAAAATTCTGAAAGCTTGCGGATTCCACTCACGCTCTACAGGTCTCCGCTTGTTTCAACATATCTTTCTGGAAGATATTTTTTCCTTACTGCTAACGTCTAGTGTGCCGTCTAGGATAATCGAATATTATTGTGTCATAATCACTATGCATTTTTTCTCATACACTGTAAATTTTCCACTGTTTTAAACACTGACATTCTGAAATAAAATGGTGATGAGTAATGACACCATTTTATGGTGTTTACGCAATTGATACCATACTATGTAGACCAGTGTGGGCTTCTTTTGGACAATTTATACACAAAGCTATTTCAGCGTTTCTTCTCCAGAACTGCACCTAACACCTGCCATTGTCTACCATCATTGTTTTAGTTGTAGACTTTATTGTTTGTGCGATTCGAATTAAAGCGGATAAAAGAGATTCCAGATATTTCTCAAGCAAGGATTATACGCATCGACGTAATATTTAAGTATCATTCGTTTTGTAATGTGCACAGGTTAAAATGCCACAAACTCTTCATAACGATATTGTTCGCATGGAGTGATTTAAGAGTACTAACTCCAATTTATAGCAACTCCAATTTATTTAAAGTATAACTCCAATTTTTCAAGAAAAATTACGATGTCTCTGCCAGGGCCAGGAAAATACTCTTTATATCAAAGTGTAATTATCAAAGATAGTGCAAGTTAAATAGGCAGTTAATCTACCATAACAGTATGTTTTTGAAAGTATTATGTATTTGTCTAAAATTCATCTAAATATCTGAAGAACAACAATATAAGTTCACACACTTATCAATACATAATCAAAAGAAAATAATTAAATTTAAAATTAAATCAAAAGAGGGCCGGTTAATACAGAAAATACATACATAAAACAAACATCAAAACTTAACAAAAACGAAAGCTCTTTTTCAAGGAGCAGCTGGAAAAGTTTCAACAGAGCCATGTTTCTGAATTATATATCTGGATGATTGTAAATGCTTGAAATAATTCAAAAGAAAGTGCCGAGTAAAAAATTTAATTAAAATTCTTAATTAATTCTTTTCAATTATATCAAGCATTTATAATCATCCAGATTTAATTTCGACACGTGGGTCTGTTGAAAATTCTTTGGCTGCTCTTTCAAAAAGACCAACGATTTTTTAGCAATTTATTATATTATTTGTATTCCATTACTTTATTGAATTTTTTGTTTTTTATTTCAATTTTGATGTTTATTTTATGCATGTACTTCCTTTTAAGACTGTTAACCCCTTTTATAATTTAATTATTATCTCTTGATTATTTAATGAATTAATAAATTTCGTAGCATACTGCTTGCGCAACGTTAATAATTTGAAACTTCTAAAGTTTTATTTACAGTACCTATTTTTTTTTAATGTGAATTACTGATATTACAAAATTTCTAATTTTTCAAACATGGTTTAGTATTAATACTTCAATCCAAAAAATTCGAGATTATTTTTATAATTCAAATAAATATGTAGTATACTATGTTTAGTTCATGTGATATATCATTAAAATTAAAAACTCAACCCATTCTTGAAATTATAAATGCTTTATTAATTTTAAAATCTAGTGCTATATTTTATTTCCATCCTTATGAAAACAAAAGGTATTTGAATTCGTGATTTCATGTTTTTAATTTTTTCCTTGTTTTTTTCTCTTTTACCTCAATTATTATATAAAAATTCCGGCGAAACATCATTACTTTGATTGCATTTTAGTATTTTATTCTCTGAACTGGTGTTTATATAAGAATTTAATTTTCTATTATGAATAATAAATAAAACCTCAAGAACCAAATATTAAATTCTCTGTCAGACATAACTATCCTGAATAACTATTTTTGTACTCTTCTAGCTTTTTTCACAAAAGTCGACAGACTATCTTAGACAGCGGTACTACACTCATTAAATAATACATTCTAAATAAAATTTCATCAAAATTTTCGTAACGAATGGAGAATCCTTTTCCCAAACTGTCTCATGCCGAGTATTTTCTTTACCTTTACTGACAAAATAAAATTTCAAATTTATTCTACCAAGGCACTTCTTTATGATGCTTTAACAATTCGCGATAGTCATTGGTGTTTCTGAGAACGTCAGGATAAAGCAGATTCAGTATAACTTATAATACCGTTATTTTCCCACATATAGAGCACATTTCTGGCTTAGGAAGTTCTGTAAGTACATATCTTATTATTTTTACTATTCTATTTCCAGGAATACTATCCGTATGTGATTTCTCTCATCCAATTCTTTTTGTTGGCTGCCTTTTCAATGCAACTCTGCCTAGGCCTTACTGTCTATATGGAGTTTGTTGACATGAAAGGAGTTCGATACCCGGAGCTCAAGCTTGCTACCATGGGATGGGGTGAGTTGTGCTGTTTTTCAGAATTTTAAATTAGTTGCACTAATGTTGAATTTTACAAATTAACTAGAATTACAGCTCATATTTTTAGTAAATTTCTGGAAGCCTTTCGGAATTTCCTAACTTTTTAAATGACATAATTAAGAGCACGTTAATGCTTCAGTTATCCAAATAATGGGTCATCAAATTTCGCCAATATTTGTTTCGACAGATACCGACATATGCCTGGTTCTGGGAAATATTTCAAAATTATATGTAATTTGAATGGGCGAAAATCTTGAAAATCTTTCATTTCCTCTTCCATAGTGCTCAATAATTTAGAGTGTGGATTTCTGGAGCTTAATCGTTATCATTAAACCTTGTATCCTAGGCTAGGACAAGATTGTCCTAGCCTTCCTCCGCCACTTTAAATTAGGCATTTCTGGGTCATTTTTTTAACTGGCTCGCCTTGCTATCATGGTAACACAGCTATGGCAGATATTATGAGTACGTAAAATTGTTGCTGTTTTTCTTACTTTCTATTTCGAGTGTTTCGCCGAGTTTCTCTCAACTGCTCGTCGAATGTAAGTTTTCAAGGAGTCTTTGCTTCCAAGAACTTTATATAATTAGCTCCCGTGTTCTCTTTTTCTCAATGATTGGTTGACTTACACTAAACCCAACGTCGGAACAAAGTTTTAGCGATCCTCGTAAAATATTTCGGCTACGAACCTGCCTTTAAGCTAATTCTATGGAAACGAATATCAAAGAAAAATAACCAGTAGCATCGCATTCGTAAATGTAGTGAGATGTTTGCTTCAGACGTATTTCTTTTATTCAATCAGATTCAGCCTTTGAACCTGTATAAAACTATAGATGCCACCCAACCGGTATAGTGATTAGCATCGCTGCCAAAGGGCTCGGGTTCGAATCCCGGAAAAGGCATGGATGTTTGGAAATATATAGTGTCGGTGCGGCAGGCGGCACTCTAAATATGCGGCGAGCCGAAATTTCTGTCGTGTGGTTTGGTGGAAGAGGGGAGGTGTGGGAGACCCTCGGACCTGTCCCCCCCCCGGGATGATGTCCATTAAAATTGGGGGGCGGAATCGAGCTAAATCGTACTGTCACCTGAAAGGTGCTCAAGGCTGTTGCCAAAGGTAGGCGTAATCTAGCGCTCCTTGCCACGAGGAATTTCGTGGGCTTGGGTTGACTACGTCAAACAAATAAGCATAAGCAACGACAACAGCAAAAAATATATAGATGGTTTGAGCGATATTGTTGTTAATTATGAAAAAATATGCAAAATAATTGCGTCTTTAGTTAAATATGTATTCACACCTATCAGCTTCTAAAATTGGAAAATGAAACAGCAAATGCTTTAGCTGTGGATTCTAAGTTGAAAACATCAACATAACTATAGTAATTGCCTTTTTTAACCGTCTCTGTTTAGTTAAAAATCTAATTCATTGTTGAAATTAAGTATTCATTGCTTGAAAACTAGTTAAATAATGTTGTAGTCAAAATTAAATGGATTTAATTTTTCTATTTACCCTCCAAGCTGTCGAGCCATATTTATATGGTCAAAAATATTTGCCATGATACTTTATTAGACACACACATGCATCTTGAAATGACAACCAATTTTGTATGAATATTGAAAGGAAAAGAGTCAAGGTACAAATTAGGAAAGTCATTTTAGAATTATAATAAAGAAAATGCCATTTTTCATGGCCTTTGGGGGAATTTTAGGGTTCGGGAGCCGAAACCGTGGCTGTTTGGAGGGTTTCAAACATAAAAAATAATTGTTCAGATAAATGGCTTGTTCCGAACAATCGTTTAGGTGGGTTATTCTCAAATTAGTTAACAGTGAATAACCTAGATTATAACCCATTGAACCCAGATCAGGTAATCGAGTCTTTAAGCAGATCTGAAAGCAAAAGACATGCCTTTGGGAATATTACACTTGTTTCATTTCTGTAAAAGAACTGATATGATTACTAAGCATTTCTAACATTTGAGATTAATCATTGATAATGAAGGGATATGCTACGAAGCATATTAGGGAAACGGATTTCATTCCCATGCCCTTGTCGAAACTTCGCGAGAAATCGAGATCGTAATTCGGTAAAATTCGTTCCTTGCGCGATATTGCCAATTATTTTTATTATTTATAAATGCCTGTCTTTGGGAACTTAATTCATTAGCCATCTTCCCAGTATTTTAAGTTGACGCAATTAAAATTATTATATGCAGAGAACATGCTTAATTTTTCTTTGCCATAGGTTGTCCAAAAGCACAAAGAAAACACACTGGAAACGTTTTAAGGCCTAATATAAAAAAGGTGAACACTGAAGCTATCTTGTCCAGTCAAAAGACGGAATGTAGCAAAAGAAGAATAAGGGATATTATAGCCCTCCTTCAGAAGATAATATTACCAAGTTTTCCCCTAGCTTTTATGCACAAATTTGAATCAAAAATCTTGCTAAATTGCATACTTTTCAGTTTTCTAACGAAATAAAAGTTCATAGAATTTTTCAGGAGAAATCGTTTTTCTTTTTGTGTTGCTATAAATAGCAATACAGAGCTATGTTAAACCGACTGCATGCCGATGTCGATTTTAGGACATGTCGATTCTCTGTAATGTCAATCTTATGCCGGAGCCGATGGTGTGCCGGTATCTATTCCAGGCATTGCTGGTTGCAAGCTTATGATAACATTATGTAGGTGCCAAGTGTGCACTATTCTTCTTCCCATCATTATGTCATTATCAAATTTTATTGAGTGAATCATACGCCAATAACTAGTATCATGTGCTTAGTTAATCCTAGTTATAACGTCTCGTATGGTTTGGTGTCATAACCTAAGTTAGACGTTAGAAGACTACTTAAGCGAATTTTTGTTAAGTCTGGAAGTACGACGAAATCAGGAGAAGGGTGTTAAGAACCCTCTATTAACTCAAAGTTCACAGATGGCAACTACTAGTGCTTATAAGCTTTTGTAAGCGCACTTTTGGCTTAGCTCAAAAAGGTAGCGACTTACTTAAAACTAAATGAAAGTTAACTTACCCAATGGCTTCACATGTTAATTAACGCGCAGGCTGTGTCTAACTCGTAAATGTTGGCGCAAAGAGGCCTAATGGCAAGTAACTTTCAAATAGACAGAACACGCTCTGAATTTATCTCCCAAACCCTTCTCTTAAGTAGTAATTTCTTGCTACCACATTTGAATACATGCGCGTTAGATTGTTTACATTCTGGCTAGAAGGCGTAAGTTAAAAGCAAGAGCGATAGGAAAGGCTTCTTCAAAATAAAATAACTGTTAAGTAAATTAAATAAATTCCCACAAGGTTAACAGACCAGTTCACAATGCTCTTTTTGTTTGTGAATTTCTGGCCAAAAATTAATCAAATGCTGTTGTACAAGTTGCATACTCACCTTCGTGTGGTGTTTTTCTTACGCCCATGGTTAAAATTTCAATATTGTGATGACCATATGTCTGTTGCCGCAATAAATGAAAATTCTTTGTGAATCTTAAACTGGTTTCATGAATGTAACTATGAACAATGCTTCAACGTTGGAAGAAAAGTTCACATAAATGCTTTCTATCCGAGAAAATTATTTTTAAGAGACTGGAATAAATATTGATCACTAACTTCAAATCTTATATTTTATGGCGCCAGTCCTAGAATAAATTTATTATCAAACGCTAAAGCAATTAATTTCGTAGAAGCCTTGACTTTTTTTTGTTATGTATTATGTTAATAAAAGCTAATGCAATTTAATTTCTTTAATGAATCCTAATGATCTCTGCCAATCATTATGATATTTTTTTTGTTTTAATTTGCTGCAATATAAAAGTAACATTTTATTTATTTATTTATTAGTCTTCTAATAACAGAGGAGCAAACACTCATTTTATTTAAAAATCAATGTTGTTAAATCGTTTCGTTTTTTTTACCTTTTCATAATTTCTTTTATCATTAACTTGCCAAGATTTTTTAATTAATTATTCTACGCTGATTGATATCAATTTTCTAGAAAATGTAAAAAATGGTAAGAGTAATTATTGGCTCTTTTTTCATAGGTAATCCTGGAGAGACTACTTAGTGTTTAAAATGTTCTGTGCGCAATATTTGATTTCCTGATAAGTCAATCGTTTAGTTTCAAAATGGCATTTTAACTGCATTGTTATGGAATAGTAATTGCAAATGATTAAAAGGTTTTACAACTTTCATAAATGAAACTGAGGAGCATACTTCAAAGTGTCTTTTTATTCATGACATATAAGATTGCTGACGCTCTTGTTTTCAGCAAATCATTCATTAGCATTTCTTTAAATATTTCTTTTAAGCCTATTAAATCATGCAATTCAAATAAATCTGAATTCGTGGGCTATATTCCGATTTTAAATGTGTTTTATCAATTTGGTCACCAATACTGAAATGTATGTATATATTAGCAGAGTTATATATTTAAATCAGTAAACATTATCTGATACTTTCAAAGAAAAGTTGCAGACATTTTTCTTGCACCATATTTTCAAAGAGGAATTCCCAACACTTTTCTTGCACCGACCCTTTTTAAAGGAATAGTTTTACTCCCTAACATTTTCCTTTTTAATATACAGCATATAACATAATCATAACACAAATAATCGGACATAACTTAAAGATGACAATTAGACTAAGAATGTGAACAAAAGTTTTATAAAATTAATAATTTATTAGATTACGTTTTATTATTTTTAGCCTAACGGGAAAATTTGCCTAGAAGGGCTATGAATTTCGTTTTTGCATTTTGCCTTGATTCACTAGAAATGGCCAATCACTTTTTAAATTGTTTCCACTAAACATTAGAACCCTGTATTATATTTAAAGGAAATTAAATAATGTAGAATCTGAATAAATGTATGTATGTTTCTCGCATTGTGATAAAACGACGGTACCTACAGCCATCCAATTTTGAATAACGTAATCTTCGTGCGAATATAGGCATCTGCAGGCCCGAATTTGAAATTTGGAATTTGTTTTATTATCGGTTTCGTATTTTGTAAAACTTAAAAGAAGGAAGAATTTTTAATTAACAAACTCAAGGATTTCAAAGCGAACAGTAGCAACGGTGTACAGAAAAAAACATTTTTATCTCCAACACGTGAATCTGTGTATCGGAAATTCTGAAGATTATTTTGTGATATTGCTCTTGAACTGAATTTTATGGTTTAAATGCGAAGAACATGATATTTAATAAATAAAGGTCTCCACCCGAATATGGGCATCTGGAAGCGAAATTTGGAATTCGGAATTTGTTTTATTATCTATTTATATTCTGTAAAACATTTATCAGTTTTTGATTAAGAAACTCAACGGTTTCAAAGCCTCCAATGGCAACACTGTACGGGAAAAAAAACATTTTTATCTCCAGCGCGAGACTTTGTATCGGAAATTCTAAAGATATGCTCTTTTAACTATTTCGTGATATTGCTGTTGAACTGAATTTTATGGTTTCAGTGTGAAGAATATTAAATCCGTAACAATATTTGTAAAAGTCCGTAACAATATTTAATAAATAACGGTAACACACAAAACGTTAAAAATGCCCCCTTTAAACGTAATATAAAATCTGAAAGCTATAAGATTTTTGTGTGTGTGTTATTATTACTTTTAATTTTACAAACAGAAACAAGTTTTCAGAAACAAAATCACAGATTTTAAAGGCGCAAAAGTTCAGTTTAAGTTAATTCAGATGTGTCGCAGTTCAGCGGTTCTATGAGCCACGGTGGCACATATAAATATTCAATGTCTTGAAAACGAACATTAACATTATCTAAATTTTGCAAACGGTTTGTGTATAACAAAGTATCTTAAAAGTGTTGTTGTTCTTCGTTTATTTTTCGTTGTGTTTTCTTGTGTTCCTGCGTTTACTCTTTCATGCTGTGTTTTGCATAAAAAAATTGCATATTTAAAAAATATTATTCATTTTTAAAATATATTAAATAATTTTTGTCTATTTTTTCCCTTATATTTATTTTATATGATTTCTTTCTTATTACGGGATATAGCTTTATTTCAGAGAACAAGGTAGTGTTGTACCAATAACTGAAATAAATTACCAGTTTTTAAAATACAAGTAATATTTTTTGAAGTCAGCGGGACCTTCATCATGCCGACCGCAATAGCCTATGCATATTCGGCAATCGACCTCTTATCATAACTGACTCTGTTTAAAATTGCATCGTCCCAGGGGGCCAGTATCGATCCTGCTGTAAAATTTAAAACTTATGTTACCTTACTGATTATATTGAGATTTGTAACTTAAAGAGTTAAGTTAATTACAATGTTTAATATGCCCAGAGTTAATTTCACTTTACTCACGCTTTCTATTGTTATATTTGTCGATATTAAAGGTTATACAGACATACCCTATTATGTAGAACCCTGCTTATAGCGAATCCCGGATATAAAAAGCTAATACAAATGTAAATAATTTTTAATGTTTATTTTAATTAAGGTTGCTATTAACATGGCATCTTTGGGGAGATGTGAAATGTGAAAATGCTAATCACTCTTTCTGTGGGATCATCATGTATGGTGCGACGGCACAGGGTGGGCTAAGGCCTTCTGAACTAGAGGTTTCCCGCCACCTCTACTTGCAGCCAAACTCCTTCAATTCTTAGTTTTATGGACTAAACAACCCTCCTCTACAGCATCTATCCTTCGAAGTCTAGGTCTTCCTCTTCTTCTTGTGTTACCTGGTCTAGCCGAAAAAATTTCTTTTAGTTGTCTTGTTTCTTTCGCGGATTGTATGCTGGAACAGATCTGCTCAAGTATTTCTCTCTTTGAGTATACAGAATGGCACACGAAATGTCATACCGTTTGTTTTGCTTAGTACACACCAAAATATTACAAATTGAAAGCATAGCTGATTATCTAAACAAGGAAAGTGGATTTAGTGCAGAATGTATCTACCATTTTATTTCACAAGCCTCTTCCAAGCGAACCTTTGTATCTGTTACAACCTCCGACACACGTTTTCTGAAACTGCACGCATAACTGTACGACTCAGCGTTTATCCTTCTTGTGGATTTGCTGGAACTTTTGTGCCAAAGACACGCGAACTACTTTTCTGCTTTCGGGTATGCGGTTGCTTGATAGGCGCCATTGTGAACGATATGTTTGCAAGGAGCCCATCTTCTGCCAAAGTGCGTACCAAAACGTCATCGCCACCAAACTTTTTATTTCTGCTAAAAAAAAATTTTAAAAATATTTTTAAAAAAAACCACGTTATAACTTACATCTTCTATTCGACCTATCTATTATCTACCAACTAACTGTTGCAAGCTGCTGTGTCGCGGCAAATTAGAGTTCAATATTAACTTCTCCTCACATCTACCAGCTTTTCCATAAATAAAAGCTCCATAAAATGTGTTTTTACTATTCAATGTATATTAAAAATTTTGTAGAATGTTTGAATTGTACTATATGGCATTTCTTGCGCCAACCTGTACCTTTGGTTACTACTATACAGACCTCTGTAGCTGCTTTAAAAGCTTAGAATTGCTAAGAAAGAGGGATTTCTGGTTCTACATCCCCGACACACCATGTACATTTGTAAGCATAGCGTTTCTATATGGCATGAGACCACTTAAAATACTGAAGAGCCGAAGGTCCTCTCAAGATTTATGATGGTAGGAAATGCTCAGATTGTCTTCCGAAGTGTTCAAAAAAATATTTGTTGTACAAAAAAATTCGAGTGGAGCTATACAGTTAGACCTGTATGGTCAATGTGTGAAATTCTGGTGTCCAGTTCCCCTGCACCTGCGTACACTGTTAGTTCGATCTGGGTTCGATTCCAGGCGAACGGGCTGGTTGCATGGACATTTTCGTGGTTTTCTTCCTATGTGTCGTGGATACGAGTCAGTTTCCTTTAGAAAGTCCTCTACGAAGGCATCCTTCCCCTTATGTAAATAGCCCTAACGTGCTTTGATGTAATCAAATAAACAAAACGACTTGTATCTATATACCTGATTAATTGTTTGCTGGTACCCTCAATCAGGCAGTGTGTTGTTAGGAAACTCGGCATGGCTATTTGATCATGTTCATACTCAGCATGTTATAAAATTTTCCTAGAACTAAAGCGTTATCAGCTTCATGTAAATAAAAACGTCTGTTTAAATTACACTTTGAATTACTTTTTACAGGAATATGTTTCAAAACAAATATTTGATTATTATTGATTTTAATACGTATATTTCAAATCTAGCAATCCCAATGATTGTTGTCGGAGCGACCCTGGCAGCGCAAGTACCAGAAGGATTCAAACTAAACAGGTATTGTCAAAAAATTTTGTCCTTTTTTTAACAGTAATTTGGAAACTACAGCTTTATATTTTAACTCTTGCTTTGTTTTGCTTTGCAGCTGGTGGATTCAGATGCAAACAAATTATTTTTATGCTTATTCTGCATCTGTGATTATAATAACTGTGGTATGTATTTTCATTTATATTTAACATTATATTTCAATACGATTAAATAGCAGTGTTATAATAGTAGTTGATTTCTGTTTACTGAGGCAGAATTTTAACTTAATTTGATATTTAATATTTCTTTCATAACAGTACTTTAACAGTTGTAAGAAATTCAGAAAGGAAACTGATATATATATATATATAATTTATTTCCTAAACCGTATTGATTATTGATTATATTATCTCCTAATTTTGTCCTTTTTTTAACAGTAATTTGGAAACTACAGCTTTATATTTTAACTCTTGCTTTGTTTTGCTTTGCAGCTGGTGGATTCAGATGCAAACAAATTATTTTTATGCTTATTCTGCATCTGTGATTATAATAACTGTGGTAATATATATATATATATATATATATATATATATATGTAAAAGAAAAGTATGGTTGACTACACGCTTAATATTTAAAGTTCATATTTCCCTACAAGACAAAGTCAAATTTTAGTTTAAAATACAATATCTGCTTTGATTTGAAACGTAATAACATTCAAAAATAAGTAAATAATGTGGGAGGTTGTACAAGATAAAGAAATGTGCGGCGATGTTTGCCTGCGTTGTCGCAGCAAATTGTTTCTTTAAACCGTGCCATCTTGTGGCTCCATCCCTAATTAAATATTGTGAACTAATTGCTGTTTGCTTCTTTTAGATACTTTAATTATTATTTTTTCCAATAGAGAACGCATCTGTGAAGATCGCTGTTCTTTTTGACTGATGCTGCTTGGCAGAGGATATAACTCGTAAACTTTGAACCCGTGGCTTTAGGGCTGAGTCGATCACATTAAAAATAGTGAACTGTCTTGCTGCGAGTGATTTTAGCTAAATCTTTCGTAGATGGCTCCCACAGATTCCCCAAATATATAAAACAGTAGCACCATAACTTAATTATTTACTTTATATTGAATAACTTTTCTGTTTTAAAACACATTAAATTTTCTCGGTTAACAAATTAAAAATCTGCTCAGTTAACAATTTGTTTAAGTTGAAGTTTCTTAATCCCTCCTAAAACACGAAAAGTTGTTAGCAATAAAACTTTCATTTCATTGCTTTCTTAAACCACTTCATTTGTTTCAAGCTGTGTTCTTTCTTTCGATAGCTGCAGATAATGTTAGTTATGACAGTCAAATCAGAACTTCGAATGCACAAAAAGCTAGATACCTCAAAGCATTCCAAATCTGTTAACAGGTACGTATGCATAATTACTGGACTTATTGTTGTTTTTTTTTTTTTTTTTTTTTTTTTTTTTTCAAAACAAACCTTATGTGAAATAAATTTTAAAAAAAATAGTGTATGTTTTACATATTCTTACGAGAGATGTTTAAAAAGATTAAATGAGACATGTTTAAAAAAAAACATTTTATTACAAATAATGTTTCCATAAATCCATGACTGTTCAAAATTTAAGCAGCAAATTCATTTTTCAACATACAGCCATGAAATTTTTATAAGCGGCTTTTTTGCGATTAGTACCATGAAACGCTAACTCAGCAGAAAGATGATGCATATGCAAATATCAGCATTATGACATGGACTGTATGTGCAGTACGGCTATAAGAAAACATCGGGAGTCTTTTACACATGGTAGAATGATCAGCAAGTTTCAGGAGGGGCGCACTTTAACATCTGTCGTCCAAGCGTTTTGGATTAATAAAAATATTGCTTCAAGACCCTATAAAGCCTTCCAAATGGCAGTTACAGCTGTAAGTTCCTGGTGGTCGACTAAGAAAACAACGGTGATTGATGACTGATATATCGCCTTGCAGACAAAAAGAGATCGAAATCAGGCAAAGGGCAACATTTCTCAGTAGTTGCGCACGACAACCGCATTGCTGTAATCAGGCGACTTCATAAAAGTAACCTATTTAAAAGTAACCTAAACGCTGTATACTATTGACGGCGGCACCGTTTACATTGACGCAGAGAACACAAATACTGGACATTTCATCAATGGAGTCACGCCTTCTTTACCGTTGAGAATCGTTTCAATCTGACAAACGGTTCTTGGAGCTGTTTGTCAGAATGCAGCCATATGTTGCTTGCCATATGCTGCCATATGCAAACGGTTCTTGGAGCCGTTTGTCAGGAGAAAATTAGGAGCACTCTTTCATCCCACTAACATCAGGATAAGAGGCCCTGGTGTGGTCCTGAAGTGTTTGTATGCGGAGGCATAGTGATGAACTGAAGGAGGTGAGCCACATCTTCGGCTTACCAGAAATCATTACTGTGATGATGTTATCCTTTCCCACGTGTGTCTTTTCGGGACTGCCATTGGTCTCTGATTTTATGGATTATAGTGTACGGTCACACAGGGCTCATGCTGTTGAGGAACCCCTGAAAAATGAAGATATCTACAGAATAGATTGGTCAGCGTACTTCACTGATTTAAATCCCATTAAGCATATATTGTATACTTTAGGGAGGCACAAAATCTTACCATCCTGAAAACACCAAACAACTGAAGAAGATGCTCCTTGAAGAATGGAACTCTTACCCCTAAGAACTATTACATAATCTGGTGTTGAGTATCGACAGATGGTGCAACGTAACCATTGCAGTGAGGTCATATCCTAAGGCTTTTCTGTTTGTTGCTCTTCCTCTTGGTTCAAATAGTTTTTTTTTTATTACTATTATTATTTTTTTAACCAAAGGCATTCCATCAGTAAAGCCCAAAATATATATACATTTATTTAAATTTTAGATTATTATTATTTTATTTTTTTTTTTAATTAAACAAGAAAAGTATAAAAAAATTATGATAAATTCCCAAACTTGAATTAAAGTTGTTTTTCATATTCATAAACTAAAACTGAACATTTATCAGATAAATAAAATATTGACCACATATTCTGCCTGAGACTATGAAATCCTTCTAGGGAGGAATATCCTCCTTGTTCAGAATCCTTGTTTTATGACTTTTCATAAACCTTTTTTTTCCCGCAGGAAATTCAGAAAAGCAAGCACGGCATGCCCTTGAAAGATTTCTGTATCTACGGCCGTATCGTTGAGTACAGATGGAATCATGGGAAAGCATAGATTTTTAAATCCATACGGTTTTCGGGCAGCTTGGGGGCATTTAAAATACCGGCTAGGCGAAAGTACTATTGAATGGTTTGGTAGTACGGAAGAAAGGATGGGAGACCCTCGGACCCGGGATGTTTCCCTTCCATACTGGTACGAAGTTGCCTAGTTAGTGCGGTGGCAATACACCACTACGACCAATGGTGAAATTTAGATGTTTCGCCCATTTCTATCTGCACCTGTATCTAGCTTCCTAAACTATCTAAGCAGAGTCTTGGTAGGAACTAAAAATAACAGTTAGAATTTTCTACAGTTCTGGTTGGATTAAAGCAGGTCGCTTTTCTTAGTCCAAAACAACACATATTTCACTTAAAAAGACTTCTAGTTTTTTCTAAATAGTTAGAGAAAAATAAACGCAATATATTTTTTACAGTAAAAATGAGCAAATTTTATCTGAAATATAGCCACAAATTATGCAAATTCGATGCAACACACAAAACATTTTGAAAAGATTAATGTGTTCTGCTATCTAAATGCCGTTTTGTCTTTAATACAGACTGCGAAACAAATGTGCGTAATTTATATTTATCTTTCAAATCTTCCATTCCTTACTATTTCAAAACTAACGAAGTATTTTAATCAGTTTTAAATCTGACTTATGGACACACAATAAGAACATAGCAGATGAAAAGTAGTAATGGGTAAATTACAGGTAACTATCACAATATAACTTTTTTAAAATAAACCAACATTCCAAAAAACACTGTACTATTAACATTAAAGTATTAGCATCACAAAGTAAGATTAACAATACAATGCCTAATAAGTTTTCTTCATTTCTACTTCCCTATAATTGGAATCTCCCTCGTTCTTTTGTTGTCTCCGCTACTCCTTAGGCCTCAAATCCTTCATAAATAATTAGAAGGTGAATTAATCCATTTTTAAATTTAGGCGAGCTTGTTCTCTGAATGCTTGGAGAAAGGAGATAGTTACGCGAATAATTATTTTTAATTTTCAGGGCTTGGCGCTAAAAGGCTAGGGGATAAATTATGCGAGGAAATAAAGCACTGTTCAAGTGGCTGCTAAGTAAAATGTTGCTCCTGACATCACTAGAATGACGTCTTTCAAATATTCTAGTAATAAATTTAAAAAAAAAAAACTAGATACACTTTGAAATGCTAATAACGCTTTCAATAGCTTATTTACAAAACTTTCAAAGATGAAACAAAAATGTATTCTTTAAAATAAAAATAATATAATTCATAAGAGTTGATAAAATTTAGTGACTAAAAAATAATTCATATTCCTAGAGGAATTCATTGTGCCGTCAGTAATAAGACGTTATATTATCTCTGAATATGGAATAGCTGTCAAACTTTAAGAAAATCTTAAAGAGATGCAAATTTCTTAAATTATTAAAATGTGAAATATTGAGTTTGCTATCAAAATAAAGCCCCGTTTTGTAAGCAGAAAAGAAAAAATTAATTCGTATTTTTATTACTGTTATTTAAAATGTGCTGGAGTGAGTTTAATGTGATGACTGACATATGACTACTTAAATCCTTTCTTAATTAGCGAAAAATAAACAGTTTAGATTTTTCCTTTTTTTCTTTCTTTAAAAAGGGCTCTTTAAATATTAATTAATCTCTGTAAGTGACATATCGGGTTTTGATTTTAATTTTAAATTTTTCTTTCCTAGCTTGCAAAAGATTACCACTCTGTGGGTTTATTAGCATTACATTTCTCGCCCATCTTTCGTCAAGTACCTTTTCTTGAGAATTTCAATATTCGCAATTTTTAGCAAAATACCACACATGTCTGGAAATAAGGGATTGTTTCTGACTGATTTCTCAGAAAATCAACAAACGCATGTTGGGAAATGCTATAAAAATTAACACGAGACTAGCAAACGTTGTCTCGAGACTTTCGGCCGGGAAAAAAGGTTAGCCAAAAAAAGACGCATTTCAGATATGCGCTTGGCTTTAATTCGTCTAATGTTAACATTCAAATAAAGACAAACTCCCTGCTTTTAACTCCCACCCCAAAAAAAAATAAATAAAACGAAGTAAGTAGAATACGAAAATAAAAGAATTTAAAAAATCGCAATCCATCCCAGAAGAAACGGAACAGCTTTTAAAGGTTGGCACAATTGCTTGTACGGAAAAAAAAAATTATGTTGTTTTTGTCTTGTCCTTGTAATTTAATGGAAGAATGGGTGCCAGAGCCTCAAGGAGGTTGGACTTCTACGTTCTGAGGAAGAGCACCCCGAGGGATCTGCGGATCTCCCCTACAACCGAACCACACTAGAGGATTTCCGGCTCGTCATATATTTGGCGTACCTTCATGCCGTTGAGACGCTACACATTTACAAGCATCTGTGCCTTCTCTAGGATTCGAACCCCGGCCTGTGGTACCGCAGTAAGCTCCCCTAACCACTATACCGTCTGGACGGCAAGTGATGAGAAGTATTACTCGCGATTGTCGATTTATTCATTTAAAAATACGTAAATATTTTTTAATCAGAATATTCACTGTTCGGTTAAATTTTAATTATACTAATTGTATTAATTATGCGCTGAATATTCAGATTTAAAAACTAACTTTGACACAAAAATCTAACTTGTCAAAATTTTATTTACATTAAATATATTTCTCGGTGTTAATACATAACTTTGCGTAAGTTTTAATTATATTGTATTTTTATCCTTCGCATTTAGTAGATCTCTCCTTGTCATTTTTCTCAAATCTCATGTCTTTATGGATAACATTTATCTCAGGTCTTTAGGAGTATGTTTCACAGCATTTGTATAAAATATTCATCCCATTAGCTTTACTCAAACCTTCAGAATTAATATATTCGATTAAAATTATTAAAACCCCCGAGCTTGAAATAATATAGCAAATATACGTAGATATTTTAAACGAATGAAATGAAATTAAAATTTATAATGCATTGCTTAAATCATAGTTATTCATCAGTCTTCTGCTTTTACAAATGTAATGAGTTTCCTAATTACTCTGAAAGCATCATTCAAAGTGCATTAAATATTCACATATTAATTTCAATCAAAGTTGAATACTGAAATACAAATGCACATTTTTTCTAGCGTCAGTTCCTTTTTTCTTTGCGGTAGGGGGCATGACATTCCACACTCTTTATACATTTTTGCTTAGACTTTGTGCTTCTGAAAAGAGTAATTATTAATAAAAGTCTTACAGTATTTTATGAACGTTCTTAAAAGGAAGTTTTTAATTAAAAACGGCCTTACTCTATTGAATTTCTCTTCTTAAATAAAGAAATTATTTTTTTACTCCGTAATAATTAATTTGTGTCTTTTATTAGATATCTTAGTGTTTTTAGGATTATTACTTTACCTTTCTTTTCATGTTAAAAAAGTTATAATTTCCCCAAAGTTCAGTGGAGTAAAATTCTCTTCTGTTTGTAAAATATTTTATGCATGTATGAGTTTTATAGAGGCAAAAGTAAGCATGGACAGCAAAAAGTAGTACTAGGATCGTGAATTTGTTGAATTCTTGGAGTATGGCTCCTTGAAATTCTCAAAGCAAATCTCCTTTATTTCCCTTTATATAGTATCCTTGTGTATGCCTTTATGCCGTGTCCTTCATCGAGTATCCTTTATTGTAAGAGTATATAGTTTCAAAGAGTTCTCGCATTTCTCCAACCGAGCTGTCACTGTGTATGGAGTAACTAAGTCCTTGGCTTTGTTGCGCTTTCGAATGTAAATTTAACAAATACCAGACATGAAGCTTAGCTTAATATCTGTATTTGATGTGAACTGGGACCTTCCTGAAAATTCATTTCTTTATGCACCAAATAATTATTTTTTGATCATATATGATTATTTAGAATTAATGTGAATTATTTAGAAGTAATTATATCAATTAAATAATCGTCTTTTGATAATATAGGGTTATTCAAAAGGAATGAATAAGATTCTAAGATTCGTTTCAATGAGCATGAAACGTTTGAATCAAGCGTCTTCGTGAAATGACTAACGATTTGAAAGAGTGGGTTCTATATTTTGAATTTTTGCCAGATGGATGCTCTGCATTCCTTCTTTTTCCTTCAGAATTGAAGTGCTTTCTTTTATTAGTGCTGTGGAGTTTGCTGGTCTGTCGCAGTGAAATGTGTTTAGACATCACCAGTCTCGTGCATCATCTATAATTGGTGTTCTGAACCAGTTACACCTGGTCTACTTATCTATATATTAATGGCAATGTTTATTAACAGAGCGTTCCTGTGAAAGTCCCTGTCTTTGGCTGATGCTGCTTTGTCGAATATAGAACTCGGGAACATCGGAGTCGTAGCTTGATCGTTAAACTGATCGAGCTATAAACAGCTGTGTCTGACGTGCAGCGCCCCATTAGAAATGGCAACACCACAGCAAAAGACCTTCTCCATTCTCGAGTTCGCGAGTATTTGGCTGTTTCTTTCGGCACTTTCAAGATAGTAGACGTCTGTGTGGAAAAGAAACCCATTAGTCTTGAAAAGGAGTAAAATAATATGCTTTGGACAGCGAAAGATTCTGAGATAAAGATAAAGAGAATCCAGGCAGTGTTTCAGCTAATTTAACGAAGTCGCAACTTAAAGCTAGCCTTGAAATAAGGATCCCTCAACCCGCTTGAAACTGAACTTCATTATTAGTAGAACCCTTTTTATATAGTAACAAGTTTTAAGTTCATGTCCTTAACAGTTAAATACAGTTCCATCAAAGTCAATTAATTCTTTTTAATAATAAACATGTTATTTTTTTCAACGAAGTTAGGAAATATAAACAATGTAAAAAATTTCAAAGAAAACAACCTGGTCTACAAATAACACTAACTTCAGATTTAAGAGTAATAACAAACGCTAAACGGTTAATTACCTGCATAAAGAATTGCAATAAATATTTAAATTTCCTTTTATTATGTATATCAGGTGAAAATCATCTCGTATATAATGACTTAATAGTATTTTTTTGCAGAATTTGCAGAATTTTCAGCCATGATTAGCAAATTTTATGGCTTTGCAAATGTACAAAAAAGACTGAATTTAACTGCTTAAATTTATCAAGGCTTATGTGGCAACTACTAATTACGTCTTATAAAACTCAATGATTTCATTAAATTTCGGTTAGAAACTCAGCTATAAAAGAAACAATTGAAGGTTAATCGTTTTTTATGGCATCTTCTAGCCACGTTTTACAAAAGTCTGGGATTTTATTAAAGCTCCGTATAGAATTCTTAACTTACAGTCAACAAAGCAGAATACTTCCCCTGATCACTTTAGTATCTACTAATGATAATTTTTATGAATCCTACTCAATACTGCCAATATTTAAACTAAGTTAATTTAGGGTTCCCGTTGTTCACATCATTATTCGGCTTCATATTTGACCTAAGAATTTACAGATATGTTGCGCTCTTCTTATAGGAACATTATAATCTTAATATTTGTCCAAATTTGAGAAAACTAATAAAACGTTTAAAATGTTCAAAATCGGCAAAAGATAAACGAAGTTTCTAGCATTTTAATATTAAACAAAATTTTTAACAGCTTATCTAGCTGTTTTCAATTTAAGAATTCTTGTTAGAAATATGCCGAATCGAATTGAGAGCAATTAAAGAATATTCTTTCACCCCCATCTAACAGGTATTACGGATATTTCCTTATTTTACATTTAATTTATAATTCTAAATATGTTCAAAATTTGAAACAGACATCATATCGGTTTATTTTTTATATATTAGAAAATAAATATTTTCATTTAATCTCAAACTGGATTAGAAATGCACTTCAAATTCTTTTTCGCAGTAAATAAGAAATGAATACTTGTTGCACATATAAGGAATAGGAGTGTGGAATATATTGACGCTTGTTATTAGCTTTCTTATGAAATTAATTTGAATAATTCTTTGAAAAACCATTGTTCTTATTTCTGTAAAAATTGTTAAAGTAAAGCACATTTACTTTTTTTTAATGACAGCAAATTTCGAAATCCCGCTTCCACATCAAAAGTGTAATTTTGAAGTTCCTATTTTATAATAATATGAACTATAAATTACTCCTATTTTTTTATTTATTTCATATTGTGTGCAAATTTAATGAGCTTCTAATTAAAATCTGACCAAAAGAAAAGCTTTGCGTTGCCACTCGGCAAGATGTTTATATTTGAAATTTAATCAGAAAACTCTACATTACAAAAGAAGAGTTTTGCCATTAGGCAAAAAGTCATATATTTCTCTTTCGAATTTTATCAATAAGTTCAGCGATTTAACTCTTTATTTCCATACGGGACGTTTAAGTCCCAAGAATGGGACATAACTGGGTAAAACATTTCCTCATTTCCAGCAAGACTTTTAAACCCCAATTTTAACTTTAAAAAAGCAATGAAAAACTTTAAACTATTTTTTAACTTTAATGTGAGATATTTCTCATGCATAAAGATATATAATTAAAAAGTTGCAAACTCTTTCTCAAAAAATAAGTAATTTGGGACGTTAAGGGGTTAAAAAAAATCACTTCCTCAATTAAACTTCTACCACTTCCTCAATTAAAGCAAAATTATCTTCCACGCTGCAGTGTATTGTCGTTTAACAAAGAGTTAAGGTAATATTTAATTTTTCTTTGAAATTTATTTTGTTATTAATTACTCAGCTAAGCAATTTAAAAGTGATAAGAGAAGATTCCTTTCAGTTATTATTAACTAATAAACTGGATCTGGAAAAATACTTTAGCTGGATTCCTTAAAATCATTACATACATTTTTCTTTCTTTATAATACTTTTAGGTGGTTGGCCGCACGAGCAGCTAGTTTTTCAAAACTTAATTTTTCTTAATTATTAACAGTGCGTAACTTGTTTCTTATATGTGGCTTGAGTTATAATACTTGCAGTTTCTGTGGCAAGATTACCATCTTGCCACAGAAGCAATTTATACCTAAGAGGATTATTGGTATTTGTATTATTGCCACTGTCATTTCTCGGGTTTCTTGATCTAGTACGTAAGAGCTTACGTATCTTTGTTTTCTGTACTGTTAAGCACTTTTTCTTGCTTAATCCTTTTTGTTGCATTACATAGAACTATATTCTGTTAAATATTGTATATGAATATTATTCTTTATAAATATAATCTTCACATATATACTTCTGTTTTTCAGGTCTCGATTACTGAACAGATCACTTGTAATTATTTTATTCTTGCTCATGGTTTCGGTTTCTAGCATCATGTACATCAATTTTGAAGATGAAATTTACAAATACGCTTTCTCGTCTAGCTCTGGTGTGTTGGTGAGTAGGATAAGTTTTATCTTATTTTCCAGAAAAAAAATATTGCAATCTGATATAAAGTAAAATAATTTAAACTTAACAATTTTAAACTTACAATGACTGTGGTGTAACATAAGTAGATCTTGATTTATTATAAATCCATGTTTATATATCCATATTAATGCATAGACATGTCTTTGTTGGTTCAGAAAATGGCTGATGTATTTATTTCTTTCGTCACACCAACCCCTGATGACGAATCGGTGAAAGATGTTAATTTCATTTTTCCTTTTCTTTTTTGGTTTTGACATTTTTTGCGCCTATCATGCAGTTGTCAGTGAACGTCTTCCCCCCCCCTCAATACGATCTGCTACGAATTGAATATGGAATGAATTTTAAAAGGATTTTTTTTAATTTATTTTGCGTTACACATATTATTAAATAACTTGAGTCGTGTAGATATTTGAATAAATTGCCGAATTATCGTTTACCGTAATCAGTTTAATTTCGTGGATATTTACTATATTTGGCAATAAATCGCATTTTCTTAAGCTCGAATTGCGCCACTGCCTTTTTTTTTTTTTTTTTTTTTTTTTTTTTTTTTTTTTTTTTACGTCAAGAACGCTACAGAAGACCCTGATATTTGTTAGGCTAACTTAGCTAATTAGCAAATCGCTGTTTAAGACAGTTGCATGTTATCAATAACCTGTTTTTCCAAATGAAATTACCTTTATTACCTACAGATGTTCCCTTAGTTTTTACTTGCATATTGCATGCTGTCATTTCAATCAATTTATAAAACAGTTTGACTGTAACACAAGGGTTTTCGCTTGGCTAATGAACGTTAGAGTAATATTGAAAAAAAGGACGTATTTCCTCTTAATTCTAGTAGCAGCTTGTCGCTCACTGTCTTGTGATTTTTAAAATCTATAGTTGCATATATATATGTACTGTATAACAAAATACGATGGCTGCTTTAAAAATAATTGGCGACCTCAAAATTAACTATTCTAGATTTTATGATCTCTCCTCTAAATTCATTTGTTCTCCCAAATACGAGATCTTTCCATGTTACATAATAACCTAAAGTTAACCAATCACAGATTAGCTGTGCTTATGCATCATACTTAGTATAATATAAGAAAACACTGGAGTTTTTAACAGCTTTCGACATCCGTCATGGCTGTGGGCTGAATGCGGCAGACGAATATGACAAAACTGAGTTTTACAAATCACTATTCTTTATTTTCACAGATATCCAATAAGTTTGGCAGACATTTATTCAATCATGGTTAAATAGGATAAATTTTATGTACGTGGATTTTAAAAGTAAGACGTAGGCATCTTAATCTGAGAATCAAAGCAGCGCGAAGATGTTAGCACGGTAGAAGCTAGGGAAAGGAATGACGTAGTTGTTGTGCCAAGATTATTTATACTAAGTAATAATGCATAAGTACAGCTAATCTGTGATTGGTTAATTTTAGGTTATTATGTAGCATGGGAAGATCTCGAATTTTATAGAACAGATGAATTAATTTAGAGGGAAGAACATAAAATCTAGAATAATTAATTTTGAGGTCGCCAATTATTCGTAAAGCAGCCATCATATTTTGTTATATCTTACATATAACGGCATAAACCAAACGATAGAGAAACAGAAATCTGAAATGTAAAGACATATTTTTTTATTTTCTAAAACTTAGGATAAGGCTTCGCTTCCTTACTTTCTTATAGTTCGATATGTGTAACATTTCTTTTGGTACAATATTAGTGAATTTCTTGCAGTGTAAAACTGCATAGCAGTAACTTTTATGTTACCTAAAATTTCATTTGAAATGTTAAAATATTCCCGAAAAGATCAGCGAAATTTAACATGCCGATAGAAAGATATTTGAAACACTTTTACATAAGAATACTTTTATAAGATCTTAAATATGCTTCTCCTTTTAATTATAGGTCTTCGTTAACAACGTGTAAAATTTTCTCTAAATTTTGAGATTTATAAAAGCTCTTAAAACTGTACTGCTCACATTAACATGAAACTTATCCTTTAAATGCATTTCGTTTGGTTACTTTTTCCTTGAAAATTACGTTTGACTGAAAATATTAAAGTATTATTTAATCATTTTTTGGAATGAAAGACCTATATGACTAATTCAGGAAGCTTTAATTAGGGGTATTCAAACTTTGTTGATTCAGACAACCCCTAAATCTGTAATCTCCTTTTTTGAGACTCCTAAAAGTGTAATATTTCTTATGTGAAACCCCTAAAACTATGATTTTTCATTTCTTGAACCCCTAAAACTATAATTTCCTTTTTGGGGAATCCCTAAAAAGATAATCTTTTATTTGTGAACCCCTAAATTTAATTTTCTTTAGAGGAACCCTTAAAACTATCATTTTCTTTTGTAGAATTTCTAAAACATTTTTTGGGCGGGGTGCGACTTTTCTCATTCTCAAAGAAAAAGCTCAAATGGGGACTGAAAGTGTACTGATGTTGCATGCACTCTATTTGAAAAATGAAAAGAAATTCATCATTTCTTTAGCCATTACGTTTTATTATACCATTTACTCATAAGACAGATTTATTTCGTATTGTTTTAATAACCATAAAAACAGAAATAAAAAATATTATTTAATTAACCATTTTAAACAGTTAGATTGCGGTCCACAACATATTCAAAATTTATTTGAATTTTGATTCTGATTTTCGGATTCCCTACAGGATTTGTTTAATTCCCCAAGTTTCCGTGAAACACAATTTGAAAATCGTTATATTAATTAAAAATTTTCGCGAACCGTTCGTTAGATTTTAATTATACTGTATTTTAACTGTAAATAATACAGAAATAGATTCTATAAGATACGCTTCTTTATATTAAATTTATGTGTAGCTGAATGGATAGAAAAAGAATGAAGCATTGGTATTACCAAAAATAACACAAGACAAATTAAAAAACATGAAACCTCTTTTTTAATGGATATGTTGCCCGCGTAGCAAGCGAAATGAGCTTCAGCACCGATTTCAGGAACAATATTTCAGTGTTTTCCACGGAGTAAGAATCTTTGGTCAACTTTTCTGACATGAAGATAATTTCAGCCATACATCTTCTAGAAGTCTAAAATAGCTTGGACCAAGTTAAGTTTGAGAATATCTCCATTGCAGAAAATTTTATGCGTCACCGCCAGATGCCAAGAAGATGGATGGTTGGCAATACTTCATCTTCAAGTGCGCATGAACTACGAGGAGCTAACAAAAAATAACAAATGTTCAGTGAAGGAAGACTGAAATCGAAATTCAGATTGAGATAAAACTAGGAAAGCTCTTAGATCCCATAATATTTCTAACAGTCTACATTGAGATGTTCAGCGAAATGTTTACTTTGTTTTACTTGTGAGGATTCAAATGAAGCTAAACGAAGTATTGCAACCAATAAACCGTAAAGGTTTTACAATTGTCTCTCAAAATAGACTTATGTTTTAAATTTTGGGCTTCATAGCTTACAGGACAGCTTCTTTGAATATTTCTTAATTCTTTAGAAAGTCATAAACGAATGTATTTTTTCTGTTTGTCTATTTTGTCTGTTGAAAAATCTATTTTTTTTTTTCATTTAACAATATCTGCCCACTTTTTGTTTTAAAATAGCTATTAATTTTTGTTTAATATTGACGATCTAAATATTCAATCTGAGTTTGCATTTTTTAAAATCTGTAGATGTAGGGTATGTTTGAGACCTATATGCTAGTTTTAAATGTCTTAATGTGTAAGTTTTGTTTATGTTGAAGAGAAAATTTGATAAACAAATTCGTTTAATTCGTCTGTGTACTAGAAAGAATAAAAAGTGGGTTAGGCAGTATCTAACACACAAGGCCGTCATAAATTGATGAATGCATTCAGTGTTAAAAATCCATATCCATTTGTATTAGATATTAATTTATGAAGCAATTCAAACAGCTTTTGAAACATTTGAAGATATTTCAATAAGTGCTTCTTCTGTATTGCCTACTATTTTACAGCAAAATTTTAAACTCTTGCAACATCTTCCACAGCATTTATGGAGTAAATGTTTTAATGATTTCAGTAATTCATTATTTTTTAAGTTCAGCAGTGTCATGTTATTCAATTGTGTAAATGTGCCTTTTAACAGCCCCCGTATAAATATATCTTGAAAATTAACATAGGGAGATCCAGTTGAACAAGAAACCGGTTAGAAAACTAAATCTCTTCAGGTGGGGCATCTGTAAATGGTAATGATTTTAAGCAATAAATTAAACAGTAATGTTAAATCTAAAGAATGAACTCGAAGTCATTACAACAGTGGCGCCTTAAGTACTGAGGAACCCACTGCGAGAGATTGAATACTGCCAAAGATATTATGTTTACCATTAAACGAGCTCATATTAAATAGCTTCCAAATTTAATACATATATAAAAAAATTCTTGAAGTTTAATATGATATGATATTCAATAAATAATCTTTTTAAATCCTTCGTCACTAAAATGCACTCCGTAATTATTTAAAACCAACCTTTAATATTTCCTTAAAAACAGATATTTTTCTCTTTATCTTTTAGGCAATAAGAGGGATATCTGACTTATCTTTAGAGAAGAATAACTTTTGTCAGGTTTAACGGCAATTTTATTAAACTTATTAACACGTTAAGTGCAAATATAAGACAATTCGTAGCAACATTCTGGTTCTAGATGCCCACTACGCGTATTTGTCAGCTCTATTTATATAGCCAACTACTGATGTTTCCGTAGCAAATACGCGTTAATTATATCTGCTGGGTGCCAGGGGTAAAAACATGTATGTGGTTCGCAAAGGTATGTGTACAAAAGTATGTGTTCGCAAAGAAAAATTGAAAAAAAAACTTAAAATCATATTCATTTATTAATATACGAAATCAATATTTTTCACAACTTAACCTTATCATTCTAAAGGAATAAACTAAAAAATTCATATAATTTCCATCAATATTTAAATTACTCTCTAGAAAGGATTCCCACTCCAATAAGTCATTTTTGCGAACTCTTTTTCGGCTATTTCTCTTTTTACATGACATAATTATTGTGTATGTTAATTATTATTATTTAAATTATTAATTGTTTGAAATTATTCGTATGCGAATTATTTTAAACTAAACTGGTCTCTGTCACATGCCATAATAGCCGACAATCCGAGCGCACAAGAACAATGCGCACTCGTTAGCAGTACGTTAAAGAATTGGTACGAAATAACTCGTATTGGACATGTGGGGTCAGAACATGCATAGGCCTGGTGATAGCCAACGGATTCAGTCTGATAAAATAACAAGAAATAAACAGCTCTTATGGCGGTCTAACTGAACTGTCAAACGTAACTGATCCATTGTCAATCATCATAATTTAACTGAGTCATTGATCTGATCACTCTTCGATGGTTGAGAGGATGGCCCAAGCTAGCTGAACCATCGACATTCAAACTAATCAACCATCGACTTAATGAACGATCAGATTCATTCTTTCTTTTGTGTTGGTGTAATTAAGCCAATACTTCTAACTGAAACGTCGAGTCAGCAGTGTTCAAAAGTGAAGCACAAATAAATAGTCAAAGATGAAAGTTCTGTCCCTTATCGACAAGCTTTTGACCTCAAAAAAGTTAAAAAATAGGTGGGTAAAAGTGTATTCATTCATGTCTAATTCGATTAAAATTAAAAGTTTTTTTTTCCTAATAAAGAAGATGTCTTAGTATAACCAGGAAAGTGGCACTTTCTGGCACCTTTGATTGCATCGATTACTGCAGGATCGATCTTTTGGTCCGAAAAATATCAATTCTTTCTAACTTTGGTATTCCCGTGCTATTTTTGTTACTTTTATCGACAACCAATTCCTTGAGCCGACGAGCAGATTCGCCATTTGGTAACTATATTAGGCTGTTTCTACTAAATTCTTAAATTCTTGACATAAGCAACAAAACTGAGAATTTTGTTTGCTGCATTTTCACGTACGTTTTCTCTTTGATAATTATATTTCAGCTCTAGAATTTTAAACTAAATTTCATTTAATAATTAAGTAGTGACTATAGAAAACACCATTATTCATTATAAAATTAACTAAAGCAAACTGAAACTTTATTAAAATTTTCTATTTCAGAAATGTTATCGACTTAATAAAATGAGGAAACGTCGATAGATATTTATTTTACTCTTTTATCGCCTATATATACATTTATTAACTACAGAAAATTGACAAATATACAAATCGTATAAGTTTACTTCAAATTATTTTCATCTCTAACATAAATAAAGATTATTTTAGCTCAATTAATGAATAATGTCTGGTGTATTATAAATATGACAAACATTAATAGTAATTTTATTCCACTCGATATGCATTTATTAACTAAAGATAGTAGATACAAATCTGATGTATTTACTTCAGATTTTTTTTATCTTAATCTGCATTACTGATTTTGTCTCAGTTTTTAAATGACGCCTAGTGTATTCTAAATATGAAGAATGTCATAGTAATCATGATAAATATTTCAGTAATATGAAAAGGATTGGATTAGATATTTGGTTATAGAATAGTAAAAATAAAGTGCTATCTCTATAGGGCGATGTGATATCTCAGAAAACTTTCTAGGAGAAATTAACTCATATTGCGTTGTACGTTCCATTTCACTGCCAATCAAATGCATGATGAAACTATTAGTATTCAGTAGCTTTGCTCCGCCTGCCATTGGCGAGCCTGAGCAGCAAGTTAGATTTGAGTAAATATGTAAATTAAAATTAAGGGAAAGCTTTGTTGCTCTTAATTATATGTTTTGTTTGTTTAAATATTAATTAATGTGTTAAATTGCATTTATTTTCAGGGCTTTATTGTCTTCCTTTGCTACACAGTATGCAGTGAAAATGTAAGACTTTTTTTTTACGTCAAACTTTTTTTTAAATTGCAAGAAGCTTAAAATGTAAAACGTTGCAATGCATTTTAAGAACAGTAATCTAAATAATTCATATGATATATATTTATTCATTCCAAAACATATATGTAGAAATCATTCATTTCCATTTTATTTCTGTAATATTAGCTATTGAAACAAGGCAGTGTAGCTAACAAGAGTTTATTAAATCTATTACAATACTTTGAGTGCATATTTGATTTTAATATGTTTTAGGACAATTTATTAAGCCTAAACATTCAGACCTAGCCTCTCCTGACGATTTTCGATAAATTTGAAAAGCTAATTTCCTCTTACAATAAAGTTCTCTTCGTGTTCATAAATAAAATATTAAAATAATTTTATTACATAAAGTTATGTTCTCTTGCAAATTTTCTCTTAGAAAGAAATCAAATTGGTTGTTAGTCCAAAGGGGCTTTGTCCCTGAGGGTTTTCGTTTTGCGATTTTGCGTTGAATCACTCTGAATGTCCGTTTCACTTTTCAAACTGTTGCCACCAAATATTATCGCCCTGTATTATATTTGAAGAAATTAAGTAATGAAGACTGTGCATAAATGTACATAAGTTTCTCGCACTGTGATAAAACAACGGTACCTAAAGCCATCACATTTTGAATGACGTAACCCTCCTACGAATATGGGCATCTGGAAGCCCAAATTTGAAATTTAGAATTTGTTTTATTATCGGTTTCATATTTCGGAATGTATCGGAAATTCTAAAGATATGCTCAATTTAAAATTATTTTGCAATATTGCTCTTGAACTGAATTTTATGGTTTAAGTGCGAAGAACATTATATTTAATAAATAAGGTAACACATAAAACGATCAGAAAATGGCCCTTTGGACGTAATTTAAAATTTGAAACCTTTCAGATTTTCTTCTTAGTCCAAAGGGGCTTTGTCCGCGAAGAACTATTGTTTTCGTTTTGCGATTTTGCGTTGGTTCACTATAGATGTCCGTTTCACTTTTCAAACTGTTGCCACCAAATGTTAGAGTCCTGCATTATATTTGAAGAAATAAAATAATGAAAAATCTGCATAAATGTATGTATATTTCGCGTGTTGTGATAAAACAACGGTACATAGAGCCATCGAATTTTGAATGACATAATGCTACTGCAAAAATGGGCGTGTGGAAGCACAAATTTGAAATTTGGAATTTGTTTTATTATCGATTCATATTTTGTAAAACTTCAACGAGTTTTTGATTAACAAACTCAAGGATTTTAAAGCAAGCAATGGCAACGCTGTACAGAAAAATCATTTTTATCTCCAGCGCGCGAGGCTCTGTATCGGAAATTCTATGTACTTAATTTAAAACTATTTTGCGATATTGCTCTTGAACTGAATTTTATGGTTTAAGTGCGAAGAACGTGATATTTAATAAATAAAGGTAACAGACAAAATGTTAAAAAAACGCCCCTTTGGATGTAGTTTAAAATTTGAAACCTTTCAAATTTTTATCTTTATTATTACTATTATTATTTTATTAAATCGCACTTTTCAGTCCCTACAAAGTTTACATTTGTTTGCTGTTCTTATCTTGTTAATCACCAACAATAAGTATTTGAAGTGTACTGATCATGTTTGTTAAGAATAGTGATTTCAAATTTCTCCTTGTCACTATACTGCAAATGAAAAAAAAACTGTAGGGAACTCTTTATAAAATGACCACTAGATTTCACACACCTTTTTCCTTCTGTGGATTTTGAGTATCTTACATAACATCACTACCGGTGATGGCAATTATAGGTTTTTGAGATGGATTCAATTCGATGCATGTAATATTATTAAACTGGGTTCATTAATAAAGCGTTTATTGCCTTTTTAAGTTCAACTCTAAATATAAGTATCGATAAATTAGGTGCAATAAGTTTTAAAACAGTGTTTCGAAAAATAAAGGAATTTAAAAGCAGATATTTGCATAGCAAATCCTTTTACTCCAGACAGGCTAAATTTCTAAAATTTAAAGAACCGGGATCCTATTAAAAAGCCATCAGGAACAGAGAAGAAAAATAAATAAAATAATAAACTACCAACAACTAAAACTAAACTAATTTTAAGAAGCTAAACAAAGAAGAGAATAAATTAAATGAAATGATTAATAAAAAATAAACTAATGTGATATAAAATAAATAATTAAATTAATATACCAAAAAATTAAATGAAGTAATAAGCAAGCCAAAGATGATAATGCCAAGGATGAAAAAAGAAAGATATTTTAAGCCGATAAAATTGTTTCATTATTTTGCATTCAAATCCTTATTAATTAAATGGACAAGTATTTCTCTTATTGCATCAACTGCATACCAGCATGCAAGAGGGAGGAAGTTCTTACCCTTGTCCTAAAGTTTTCTCTTGTATTGTATTTCTTGATAGAAAAAATTAAGCACATTTACTATATGTTACATTAATATCAGATTTTTCTGCTAATATTACAATTCAGTTACATAAAAAGTTTCGGCATTCATTTTATTTGGAAAGCTGGCTTTTTTATTTGCAAAAAAAAAAAACTGCGAAGTAAATTATCCAGACTTCAGCTGAATCTAAACCCCCCGTATCCAGATATAATGAATTCAAAAATGTTCGCCTGTAATGAATAAATGTTATTCTGCATTTTCACTCAAAATGTAAAAAATTTCGACAGCGTATCATATTTTGCTCTCGTTTTCTTAAGAGCAAAGTAACAGCAAATCAAAAGAATGCAAGTAATTTGCAATGTGCGAAAAAAAAACATAATCTTATTTTACTTATTTTTTCAATTTATTCCCTCTTAGGCTCATTCATTGTGCTCATCAAGTCATCCTATAGAAGATGAAGACGAAAAACAGGTAATTTTTAATTTCGGTTTATAATTTTTAATCATATTAGATTCACATTAATTAATCCAAGTTTTTGAAAAGCACATCGCAGATAGCACCATAATCATAATGTACAGTGGTACCTCGATATATATTCGCTTTGAACTACGTCTAACATGGTACATCCAACATGGTCCGCTTTGGAATAAGTTCGACGTGATAAGAAATACTTCCAACGTTCTTGTTTTGAAGTAAAAATGTTTGTTTGGTATGCGACGTTTGTTTGAAATACGACTTCGATTAGTCGCGACTGCGCGCCCAACACGGGTTCATTTCTTTCGAGACTATGCTAATCATAAACAGTAAGCCTGCTGCTAGTAGTAATAACCCGCGCTGTAACTCTGAATTTTAAAGTAATTTTGTGTATTCTCGAGTAAATGTTTTGTAAATTCATTAACAATAAATTTTGAGAGAATGAGAAGAGTCAAGCAATGAAGAATATCCTTGGAATCACTATGGAGGTAAAAAAGAAAAAAAAAAAAAATTGAAAAGTATTAAGCCTGCATAATAGCATCATCATCAGATTGTAATCAGCATCATAATGTGAAGCTTCACTTTTCTTTCATAGAACGTTCAGTGTAAATCATATATTACTATTGATATTGTTGGCTCTGAATATAAAAGATTGGAAATGTTTGGGGAAATGTTATCTTGACACAAAGAAAAAAAAAGAAGAAAAAGTTGAAAGAAAGGACATCTTTCACCTTTCTTTGAGCTCTTTGTAGGAGTATATTTGATTTTATACACTACTATTTATTTTTTTAAAACTTTTTTTCGATATTAGAATCGACCTTTCCTTCTTTAAAATGTAATTGAGGCCTCTGTTTTTGCGGTTCTTCTCCTATTTCTTCGACTTCTAATTCTTCAGTCAAAACGTTCAACACTTTATGCTAAGTTTGCATGATCAAGGAGGAATTCTTTGAGCCACAGCCTTCGGCCGTCCACATAAAGCTTATTATATAGCACGTTTATTATATAGCAAATCCTCAAAAAGCGGTTCAAGCAATTGTTTGATAATTTCAGAATACCGTTTTCCAATTATTAAGCAACAAATTGAAAATTCGCTTTAAATCGTTTAAAAGTAGTTCAAAATTCTTGAAATTTTGATATGTTAAGAATGAAAGCAAGTTGTATCGAGTAGTATAATGCAAACGAGCGGCGCTACTAAATACGATACGATTTAAAACGAGACGTTTAGCAGGGAATCGCTGTTCAATGAATGGCAACACATTAAACAATTTCGAGATAACCAAAGTTCGAGGAGACATTTGTCAGCGGAATTTCATTATAGAGCCAAGCCACAGGGCGATTGGAGGCAAGCCAACGACAGTCTGATAATGCAAAATGGCTAAATGTGTACTCTTCCTTGGTAACCCAGTTGTGGAAAAAATTTCTAAAGACCTGCCAAAGATGGGCCAAGAGTTACGACTTCTGCAAAATACTGTATTTGCGACTTAGTGCACGTCGTAACAGAACTGCAAGTCCAGCTCAGCTTAAATTCGCTCTTATTTCTGTTACAGAAAAAACAGTATCAACCACGATAATACGCAGCAGGCTGTATGCTAGGAGACCGGCATTATGTGTCCCGCTTGCCTCTGGCCACCGAAGTAAACGTTTGAATTGGGAAAATGGGCAAGTAACCTACACTGAAAATCAGTACAGGTCTGTTCTGTTCACTGATGAGTTCCATTTTCCTGTACAGAATGATTCTCGGAGTGTTTACGTATGGAGTGAAGCAAACATTCGATAACTTCCGTCTAACATACGATCTTTAGGTGGGCGCACAACCCTGTATGTGTTGCTACATGGAAATCTGAATGCTCAGAGGTACAGAAACATAGGTACATACTGTATTCTAATGTTCACTAGTATGCTGCGAAACTGGCGGTACCTTCATTTAACAAGCAGCTAATACTCCTCGTGCTCCAATTCCTTGAAGAAAAAGGTATAACCCAAATGGAGAGACCAGCACTTTTTCCCGACCTTTATCTCATTCAGCATAGGTGCAACGCTCTCGGAAGACATGTTGCTGGCTTCCAACCCCTAAATCCTAGATTGGGTTAGATCTGATTTACTTGATCAGTGGGTATTGCTACTCATGCAACTCTTTTACCACATCTTAAACAACATGAGATATTGCTATCACACCCATATTGTTGTTCAATGTGATCATACACATTATTGAAAATTTGTTTAATTAATTTGTCCGAATTTAGAAAATTTTATTTAAATATTCTGTATACATTTTTTTTTTTTTTTTTTTTTTTTTTTTGTGTGTGTGTGTGTGTGTGTGTTTAAGATGCAAGAGGTATAAATATTTTCACCAATTTTGGTCCACTTCTTTTCCATACCTTTTGAATTATAATCAGTTTTTCGTGTGTTGCTTAACTTTTGAAAACCACTATAGATTACGAACTCTAATTCCGTGCTTTGTCTGCATGTCTGAAGCAATTTCTTTCACTGACTGTCCGAAACCTTAAACATCATTCATAGTTGTTAGAAACTAGTTTCTTCAAAATATCTTCCTAAAGCACTTTTCCTCTTAAGCATGTTCTATTACTTTAAAACCATCCAAAATGGTGAAATGATTTTAGCTCTTAAAATCATGGGATCATGGCAAATAATTTGAAGGAAACAACAACGCATAAAATGTTCATTCATTTAGTTCTAATTAGTTTCTAATTCATTTAGTTCTAATTAGACTCAATAAATTTCGGTTATAATTAGACTCCGTTTACTGATTGGAGCAAATCATTGTTTAGCGGGATGCAACAAAATGAGATAACATATACGTTTTTATTTATGTTCGTAATTTATAACTCATCATGATTTATTTTTGTTAATAAGTAGTAGAAGACCGATACTTTCTTTTCAACTTCTTTTTCAGGAACCAAGAATGAAAGCTAGAAGCGGTTCATTTCAAAGTAAGTTTCCTTTTCATGTTAACAGTTGTTAAAGATTTTTTAAACATATGCCGAGGATTAATTTACGTTTGCATATATACATATATGTAAGATAAAAAATACGAAAGTAAACTAATTTTAATTGGTTATAAACTCTTTTAGTTTTATTTAATTTGGAGGCATCATCTCGTTGTCTTAAAAATAGCGCTATAAATCTAAACTGCGTCATTCAAATTAATCATGGGATCTTGCGTAACGTTTAATGCAAATGTCTCTTGCCCAATCAAAATAATTGTAAACCAAAACTAACTCGAACTGAAATGTTTCGACTCCCTCCCCTCTTCCTCTGCATTACTACTGCGGCACTCTTCCCTTTTTCGCTTGTACTTTCCTCGTGGCCAGACGCTTTGCTGCAATCATCTATGTGCTGCCATGATCGCTTATATCACAATAGTATCAAAATTGTTCTGTAAATAAGCACGATTAGAGTGTCAAGTGAATTGTGGCCACAAATCTGAATTTAAACAAACATGGAGTTTAATCATGCTCAACTGTTTCTTTCTGAAAATGAATGGAGGTTCTAAGCATCAAGTATCTACCCCGTCAGCATTTCTACGCATCTACGTCTTAGTGTTCCTACATCAATGCTTGAAAAATCTAATGATAGCACAACATATTAAAAATGTAATGATCGCACAACATATTTGAATCATTGATGTAGCAAAATGGCCATTCAAACTGATTATATGACGAAATTGTTCACCCATATCCATTCGGAACAAACCGTTTATATAGTGCTGCCGTCTGCTGATCATTAGAAGAAGGTTAAATGAAAGAACTTAAAAGTCCCGTTGGAATTCATGGAAGACTTTTAATTTTATTTGACTTTATATTAATTGGGACTTACAAGTCCCGTCGGAGCATAAAGGGTTAAGCAACAACATTACTTTTTATACTTTATTCGGCTTTCTTTGTGATCTTTTTTTTATGTAGTATTTCGAAAATTCTTTAAGCATTTATATTTGAAAAAGATGATATAATAAATAGTGAGTGCTTGATCTTACTGATAATATATTAGTCCCTGTCAGTTCTCAGAAGCATTTCGCAAATTCATTTAGAGATTAAAATTGAGATGTCAATGCAGAAATATTCTAAAGCTCAAACATAATGATTATTTTCGGTTAGAAAGAAAGATTTCGAATGCAAAATATTCTATTCAACAATAAATAATTATGATTTTTCATTTCTGTGATGTGGATTTCTGCAAATAATTCATTAAATTACTTCGCCAAAAAAATAAAAATAAATTTTAATTTTTAATAACACAATAAAGTATGTCAAATCTTCTTTTCTATTTTTCTAAATTTCATAATGTATGCAAATTAGGTAAGTTATAGATATATATTAAAATATTTAATACGTATATTAATTAGCAGGTAAAGATGCATTAAAGAACTAAGAAATCTTCAGAAGTTCAGAGTTGTAATCTATACAAAATTCAGAATTGTGCTTTAAAATGTGATTAAATTGTAACTCACTTTACGCATGCTGTATTTCTTTTTGCTAACTAAAATTTCATTACCAAGCCACATACAGTAAATAATTATAATTAATGTCCTATGCCACATACAGTAAATAATTATGATTAATGCTATGATAATAATGTCCTATTAATATTTTTGTGATATTATTAATTTTTTAATGGAAATGAAAATTGTGCGTTATAGCATTTCTTATTTTGTATGCAAATGCATCTGATTAGCAATGTTCTTCAATGAATTTCAAAAAAATTCATGCAAAGAATTTCCAGTGTCGTGTATTCATTAGAGCAAAATCTCAGTTCTCGGAAGTAACTGAAACTGCATCGGATAATGGAAAATTCAACTAATGGAGACTATATCTGACATCGAGCCAATTTTTCTTGTGACAAGTTTTTTTTAAAACTCTTAATTAGAAAATCTGAGAATTATTATCACTAATATTATAACAAACTTTTTAATTAATACAGCGGTACCTTACGTAGTTTTGTAATCTGCTCGGCGAATATTACGGACTACTTAAAATCGGACTAATCGAGCAACTATATACATACAACAAATGCTGATTGGTTTTAAAAATAATTCCATCAGAAGATGTAAAAACAGGTTTTATAACAAAAGCCAGATTTTACAGGAGGAATAAAAACTATCTCATTCTTCACAAGAATGTCAGACGTTTAAAAAAACGCTGATATGGATCTCAGTTACTCAGATATTACAATCTTTTGTTGTTGACTTCTACCGTTCTTGTGAGAAATGGGATCTCTTATAAAATTTTACTTTTGTCACAAAACCTCTTTTTAAATTTCCAAATTCAATTTCTGCCTGTTTTTGGATGAATAATGGGCGATTAATAAATCCAAATTTCGTTATTGGAACAATTTTTACAATGCATGTTTTTTGTGATTCATTTTTTATTCTCCAGAAATTTCCATATCGATACTAGAAAAGGTTTGTTTTTTTCTTGTCCTTTTCTTTTCATACATTTCTTTGCAATAACGAATTGCTTTGTTTATTGTTTGACAAATGTTAAGGCTACGTTCAGTATTGGGATAAATTTTCACAAAATGCTCTGACAAGGCTTCAACTATTTCAATATTTTTTATACTTATTCAGCTGTTAATTCTTTATCAAACACTTCCTCACTGTCACTACTGACTAAGCCTCCCATTCCTCAGTAGCCCGTTGTTCATGTGCTAATAAATTTTTCATTACCTAGTCCACTAGTGTTCATTTTGATGTATTCAGTTGCGTGATCTTCGTACCCCCTTCAACGACAGCTGTCAGAGCTCAAGAACTATAGCTTCAGCATTGCATATAGAATGAGATGTTTCATAAAAAATATATGGATTGTATCGCGTAACTTTAAAATTGCATCAAAATAAACCGCAAAGAGAACTGACTGCATAAAAGAGGAAACAAATTATCATTTATGCCTTTAAAATAATTTCGTGCACTAGTTTTATAGAAACTATTTTTTTTTATATTGGTCAATTAAAATTTGGTTTTCTTCGAAACTTTTAACCCGGACTGTAATGAATCTGAACTGAAAGAAGCTCGACTATGCGAAGTATTGTTATAGATATACTTTATTTCCTTCGCTTAAACAAATAATTCATATAAGATAGTTTAATTTTATCATAAAAATATTCATTAAAAAAATTGAATAAACGACTCCAATCCAAGTGTACGCGAATTATAATTTTTCTTTTAATTTCTTACTTGGATTTTTATTTTTTATACTTTTCATTTATTATTAGTCCAAAGGGATTTGAATCCGGAAGGACTATTAGTTTCGTTTTGGCATTTTGCGTCGGACGGATAAATGTCGGTTCACTTTTCAAACTGTTGCCATAAAATGTTAGAGTCCTGCATTATATTTGAAGAAATTAAATAATGAAAATCTGCGTAAATGTATGTATATTTCTCACATTGTCATAAAATAACGGAACATAGAGTCATCGAATTTTGAATAACGTAATCCTCCAACAAATATGAGCATGTGGAAGACCAAATTTGAAATTTGAAATTTGTTTTATGATCGATTTCCTATTTTTTAAAACTTTGACGAATTTTTGATTAACAAACTCAAGGATTTCAAAAAGAGCAATGGCAACGTTGTGCAGAAAAAACATTTTTATCTCCAGCGCGTGAGTCTCTATATCGGAAATTCTAAAGATATGCTCGTTTTAAAACTATTTTGCGATATTGCTGTTGCACTGGATCTTATGGTTTAAGTGCGAGGAACATGATATTTAATAAAGAAAGGTAACACACAAAATGTTAAAAAACGCCCCTTTGAACGTAATTTAAAATCTGAAACATTTCAGATTTTTTTTTTTTTTTAATTTTTTATATTATTATTATTTGAAAAAAGTCTTTTATTAATTTTATGATAGTACCTTTATCAAACACCGCATTATCTCGCCAGTTTCTGATCAACATCAGAGAAATATCAGGATCTTGCTCTAAATATTGAGAAGCTGTGCTCAAGATTTCCCGCCATTAACATGACTAATTTCCACATTATAGGATTTCCTTGTAATCCTCATCTTCAGCCCGCTGTTATCAGTGTAGTTTTTATTATTCTTCAGAGCTCTGTTGTGAATGATTTCTTTATCACTCAAACCACGAAAGTTTGCTTTTCTGTTTTATACATTTGTGCATTGCAAAACGTAATCTCGAATGATGTTTTCGCCTTTTTAATGGACATTGTGGATTTTCAAACGGATTTAATTTCTTTCAGTGCTGTTTCACTCGTGGAACATATTCTGAATGGAACAATGTTTTAAAAGTTTTTTCTCATCCGCATACACTGGCAGTAATATTCTGAAATCTCCTGGGGTTAACAAATTTCCCTATTAAAAGCTATCGTAGTTTTTCGCTATTAACTTCACTGCGAAATAAAAGTGAGACTCGATCTTTACTTTTTTTTTTCTTTTTAAAACCGTTTCTGTATCCTTATACATGGCATAGTAAGAATGCTATCAGGAAAACCATCTCTGATGAGTAAGGTCAGAAGATCAATCACTAATAAGAAAATTTGCGGTGTTAATAACTTTAGTTATACCCTATCTAATATTACTACTATTTTCAAATGACTTGTTTAAATTCATTACACGAGACATCGGTTTATATAAACTTGATTAATAAAGGTTCTACTATACATTGTGATTGAAAATAAATTTTATTTCTAATACGTAATATATTTCAGATATAGTGAAAGAAATTTTGCCAAACATACATTGTTTTATATCTCTTTTAGGTTTTTTGAAACCTGAGATCGTAAGTGACACATTCTGCAGCAGCAAAATGCCAGAAACAATTGAAGTGGATGTGCGGATGGAAAAACTTCGTAAATTACGTTTCCAGATGTGCCCAGAAGAAATAGAATGGAAAGAAGTGGATCATCTTCTTGTGGAAAAGTCAGCTGCTGCGGCTTCTATTGTCCGTGACTTCACCGTCCACCATCAAAGATCTCCTCTTGTGGTTGCTAGGCCTAAAGAAGTTGTCGGTCTAGGAGAATCGGGTGAAACCGTTCTAGATCCAGACGATCCACAATGGACGATGAAGCAAACTAGTGATGATCCTCTGTCGCCCCCTTTTGAGCTGCAGCAGTTAGATGACAGTCCCAGAAGTAGTCAACTGCATATCAAAGACGTCCAGGAGATGGAACCTGATGGTCAAGAATGCCAAGCCCAATTTTATGAATTAGGCGTCATGCAGGAAACACCGCCAGATATCCTGGAACCCACCAAGCAGGCTTATTTTGCAATCAATACATCGAGCCAGCAGGTGCTGGTTAATCCTTGCCTGACCACTTTTGGTAGCGGAGGTGAGATCGGAGAGCAATGCGTCATCACTACTAGGAAACCTTCTACTACTGACCAATGTGCCTTAGTGAATGACGGCCTGAGGACAAGCTCATATTCTACTTTCCGGCCACCTACCAATCCTTCCTCATGTACATTTCAAACTCCGTTTGTGGAAGTGCGTAGCAGCAAAGATGACGAAAGCAAAGAGGCTGTCACTTTTTTTCAAACCTCAGAACAGACTGACAGTCAGAAGCCTTCTTCTCAGTCTAAAACCTCATCTCCTTTGTTAAAATCTACCACTGAAAAATTGATACCACTCAAGGATCCAGACATAGGTGATGAACCTATGACTGTAGTAGATCCTTCTTCGAAAAAGAAGGATGTTCTTGGTCTTCAAGTAGCTACTCCTATTGTTCCATCACTTGAGAAAGATTCTTCAACCAACGCATCAGACACAAACTCACAATCAAAAAAAGGCTGGAGTATTACCACTGTATGAAAAGCATGACTTTTAAAAAACTATCACAATGCTTATGTTTTTGCCTGTTCATTGTAATAAAGAAGCGCTTTCCACCGAGTTTGAATTGAAAATTCCATTGCTTTTATTTGTTATTTCTCATAGTGAAGTTCATTGTGCTAATGAAATTTCGTTTCATACTTTTTCAATCTATCTTTCCCATTCTGTTACCTAACGTGATCCAAAAAAATTAAAAATTGTTTATTAGCAGGAATTCCATTTCCAGGGAAGAAAGTACTGGCTGCACTTGATATTTTACGCTTTTCTTATGTGTAAATATAAACATTAGCAAATTCTCATTAGAATGTCCTCCACGAAAACATATTTCTAAAGAAAATAAACCCTTGCCAACTTTCTTAGTACTTATCTGCCTTCAAATTAATTATGACGAATTACTTGTTCTAAACAAGTTCTGTTGAAACGTTTGTTAGGTAAGTATTCTACACTTACCTGACACATCAATAGTTTTATTAATCAGAAACACTTATCAACACTTATCAATTTTTATAAGTGTTGTCCCTGCTAAATTGCTGCTTAAATCTTATTACTCAATATTGATAACAGAAAATTTAACTATCTACTTATCATTGCAATTTGATTTTATCAAGTTTGCATTAAAGAAAAGTTGATCTTCACTTGCATGTGTAGGCTTGGATGGCTTTGGTAAATGTTGACGACATTTGGATGCTACCGGCGACAAGCTTAATATCGAAGAAATTACCATATCCTATTAATCGTCACTGTTATAACTGTCACAAAATAATTCTCTTGTAAAAACTTCGAAACTTATAGCTCAAGATTAATTTAAATATTAATGTAATATTCTATCCTTAGCAGAACAACTAAATTAATATCTGTTCTAAAGAAAAATAGAGATTGCAAGCACGGAGATATTTTTAGATAAAGATAGATAATATTATGAGGTAATTATAACACGGAGATATTTTTTAAATAGTTCATCTTCGCTTCGTAAAAAAATATTCATTTATAAGCAACGATAGTTTAAATGAGCTAAAAAATCTGATATTTACGTATTATGGCAACCACCATCGTAGGAATCTGCAAAGCTTCAGAATCCCCCAAACTCTGGTAACCACGCGCTTAACAATTACTCAGTTATATGACAAATATTCAGTTTCCAACTCCGTTACTCTCGTATATACATATGTTCTTTTTTTTTTTTTTTTCTTTTTGTATTTCAAGTTTAGAGGCTTAGAGGCTTTGATATAAAAATTACGATTATTTTGTATCTTAAAATCGATTTTAAAATTTGTGCTTGTATGTTTTTTCTATAATAGAAGAAAGCCAGGCGAAATGCGAAATTTCTGAAGGAATACATTATTTTGCTGCAAAATCGCTGGAGAAATAATGCTTCCAATTCTTTCTCAAATCGATCTGTACGAAATTTCCAAGTCCAAGGGAAGTCCTTACGTGATTTCCCTAAACTGACGGAGCAAACAAACAGCGAAGTGTTCCTGAAACTATCAAGTTGTGCATGTAAATGAATAATTATTTGATGCTCTTAATTCTCCGTTTCCTGGACTGACAACAAGTTCTGTTATTTTTTTTCCAATGGCGGCCCTAACGATTTATAGGCGCTGGCCATTACTAGCACCTAACAGGTGGCCACCATTGCCTCCTACGAAGGGACAGACAAATTATATCCATGCCTTCTTCGGGATTCGAACCCGGGCCCTTCATTACAGCAGTCACAGTCACTAACCACTTTCCTGTGTAGGCGGTACAATTTCTGTTATAAAAACATAAAAATTTCAAATTCAGATTTTATTTAATTTCGATTAGTAGAGTCGGGACAGATGGCGCTTGAATTCAACCACGGCATTAGTCATTAATGTTAACTGTGGCAGACAGCAATGCCAAACACAGAAACTGGATTTTTCTTCTGTTTTATGAGTCATTCAATAAATACTCTTTTGTTTTGTTTTGTTTATGCTTATTATGAGTTCACGTAGCAGATTGCCAACTACAAATGTAGGCTGGCAGCTGCATTTATCCTTTTTCCTTTTAAGATGTAGCATAAAAATCGCATTGCTAACATTGCTAATATTCTACCATTACTAAATAATTCTAACATTATTAACATTGCATTACTAAAATTCTGTTTTAACGTATATATGAGCAACTTTATCAAAAAGGAGCCAGGTACTGCTTCATGTTCTGATTACGTAGTTACTGAACGTGGGTAAATCTATTAACTGAAAATTGACACATGAATAACTGCAGAATGCAAGCAGAAACCCTCAAAAACTGATAAAAAATATAGAAACTAACGATGTCTGACTAATAAAATTAAAATATACGAATTAGATATATACTCCCGTCGTTCACGGGATTGATATCTTGATATATTGGGTTATAATTAATAAAACAATACCGCTAGAATTAAAATATACGTAAGATAGTTATCGAGGCATAACTTTTTCAAAAAATCCGTTATTAACTGGTTAAAGTATATTTCAGTGAAGATACATTTAATGTGGAAAGTTAAATGCTATAATTACAGTTAATGAATTGAAACATAGCGAATTCTTTTTTAACTATTATCTTTCAGTGAAGGAAATGTGCTCCTTATTTCATCGTTTTCTTAGTGGTATAGTTTTTTTAAGAGCACAGTTTTTTCACCGAAACGTTTACAAAATTAATTTTGATGAGTTTAGTTAAAAGTAATTTTAAAATGTTTGAAATTCGAAACATTTCAAATTCACACTAATTCAGCAATCAAAAAAGCGTATTTGATTGCTGAATTAGTGAAGTAATTATTCCAGTAATTAATAATTATAATAAAAAATTAGAATTATTTTCTTTTAATAAAACCGAAACTGAAGTGTTTTAGTTGGTAATCAAAGCAGCTGGAGGGAAGAGCACAAAAGCATCCACTAGGAAAGATGCCAAAAAGAGTTGGCTAAACTTATGTGTGGAAGTTATTATTCGTTTTATTGCTTTAGCTGATGATGGTACGTACGAACAAGAAACAAAGTAATGTAAATATAAAACATATGGGTATGGTTTATTTTCATGATATTCTCTGTACATTGAGCTTTTGTTACAGAAAAGTGTAGGTACAAGATTTCTGAAATTTAGAGTGGGATTACTTAAGTAATAAAAAAGAACACTATAAAATTGTTAGAGAAAAAAATAAATTTATGACCTGAAAAAAGATGCAACTTCACGCAATAGCATGAAATTGATATCTACGGCTAAATAACGTGCTTTGTCAGCGAAGCATTTCGCTAATTATCGCAGCATAAGTATAAAAATGTCGTATTGTGTCTTCAGATGTTAAGATATCTTTATATGGCAACACTTTTCTTTTTGATTTGGCTTGTGTCAGAACGTCGAAATTGTGAAAAAATAACAAAAAGTGAAAACTAACTTTTATTTTAGATAAAAAGGTCCCTTTTTGTGATAAATATTAAAGTGTTAATTCCATTTAAACTCAGTCAGTTCTTTAATCCCAAATTTTGAAGCCACCACCATCCATCGTGTAAAAAGAAGCTTTGTTAAACAGACACGACTCATCTGTGCTGCTTTTGATCATTCTCTGCACGCTTCATCCTAATTTAGTTTGTGGCAATAATGTGAATGCAACACGTTCTTCGGATGCGTTAAAATGCATCAACTTAGTTTGAGATGCTATGCTCTTTATTTAATTAACACAACGAGACGATTTTCTATGAGATTTGCAGTTTCCATGACATGAATATTTCCTTCTCATTAAAAGAAGAGTAGAATAACTTTTGTGTAGAGTTATTTTGGAATCAGACATTCAAATATTTGTCATTGCTGTAAATTATGGTTTTATATTATCAATCATATCAATATAAAATATTAAAATATCAGTAATTTTTCTAACATTTAGGAAGATTAAAAGTGTTTAGTATTACATCTAAATGTTAGATGCTGTTATGCTCACCTCTTTGTGGAATGGGCTGGAAATCAAACTCTACATTTGTTTTACTTTTGCTCCAACGTACAAACTGGAAACACAACACACTTATTACATCTTTACAACACAATTATAAATAAAAATAATCGCTTGTTGCCACATCTCTGAAACAAAATCACAGAAAACTTCATTCATTTAAAAGTAAAAATTAATTATTTTTAGCTTTTTACGAATAGCAGGAGCGCGCTGTTTCGGCGAGTAATAAATGGCGTAACAGATGCTGTAGCATAATTCAATATAAAATGCAATTAAAAAATCTGATGTGTACACCGCATGACTTCCTTGTACGGAATATTAAATTATATGCACTTTTTGCTGCATTTCATTTAAACTTATTTCCTCGAATTTCATTAGAGATATATTTCTCATTCAATTAATTCTGTTCTCAATTCGCGACAAGGCAAGAATACATAAAACCTCAAAATATCTTCACTAAAAATTTAAAAATATAGAAAAAAAAATAAAACATCAAATACAGTTTAAAAATTTAAAAAAAAATTGTTTACAATTAAAATTAGAATTCCTTCACAAAAACAAGCAATTCGGCTAGCAGGCAAACAGGCAGATTTTTACGTGCACGAAAAAAGACTTCTTTTTTTTCACCGACAGCGAGGCAGCCGATCCACTGGTACAGTTAGCTTATTGGCCAGGTAGCACCTCTGACGGAATAAACTTGGTTCACATAACACACTAAAGGGCCGTTCACACTGAAACGTATCGGAGCTAACGAACATATCCGACGCAACTGATACAGCCGATGAGGTTTAGGTACATATTGTGCTCAAGACGAGTGCTGGGGGAGGTGCAAACAAATGCTGGGCAAGTCAATGGTACAGTGATTGAAGAAAGGTGCATTGCGAGGAAGGAGAACAATTTCAGTTTCACATTTGCTTATATATAGTAGAGTTATAAATAGATGGTTGCAACTTCAGTGCTGCGGCTCTCTTTGACAGTCTTCTAACTCTACCAGATTTATTTCCACAAATTATGACTGTTATTTCCAAAGAAGAATGGCAGCTATATTTAAAAAGTATTCTTTTAAATAACTACATTTCATTTAATAATGCTGTTTTAAACAAATCAACGGCATCCCGATGGGAACTAGCACAAGTTCTGCGATTTTGTAATTTGTGCTTTTCACCAAGAAATTTCACTTCCTACAACAATTATCTCAACTACAATGTTCATATTACTCTAACATCTGCAGATATATGGATGATATTATTGCAATCAACAACTTCTATAAAATAGAATACGATCACATTTATCCTTCACTTTTGAAACTCAAAACTAACTTTCAACTAGGAGATATTAATTACCTAGATTTGTAAATTATCAATTTTAAAGATATTAAAATTTACGACAAAAGAAGAGATTTTGATTTCCATACTATAAAACTCATCCATTGGCACTCCAATGTCTCCAAAAGAGTAATACTTAATACCATACATACTCAACTCCTTAAAATCATAAGTATTTGCAACAATGTCGAATACATACAAGGAGAAATCGCGAACTTAGTCAAAATTCTCTTAGAGAATAAAACACCTCTATCCAAAATTTCTGTATCTTTAGAGAAAGTTGGTATTAACTACTTTTTTTTTAATTTCTCAATTAAAGTGAAATGATAATTATTATTTAAACCTTAATCGGAGGTAATAGGTATATAACTAAGATAAAAAATTTAATGTAACTATGTACAAGTTCTTGTTTCTTTAACTTTTCATTATTATTTATACTATCTTTCTAATATTTTGT